ATAAAGTAGCTTTAAGTGACTAACTACTGCAATTATACAAGAAAAAAATTAAATGTTTGTTCTCTATAATGCGGAATGTTTATAAGAAACTTCATACAGCTACCCATTCGTCCGAAAAATATATACCGGTATCAAACTCATCGCCAACCTTCGCTTTTGAAGTTTTGCGAAAACATTCCAACGACTAGAGTTAACAAGAAACTTCATATTTCATGGGAGCACACTGTGTGGCACTGTTAATGCGAACAAGCGATCCACGGTGTTTCATGTAGTTCTCTTAGAACCCAAGGGCTGCCATCAAAACTGCTAGAGTGGTGGAAAAAGCTAGTTTGGTGCACTGACCTAAAAGGTCAAATTTGACGCCCGCCAACACCCTTTCAAAGTAAGATGCGAGAAAGCGCAGACGGCACGTTCGTACTAAGAGTGCCTCGCGGTGTACCCTCCCAAATCGTACATTGTAACCTTTAAAATAATGCCGCCAGTCTGCAACCATAAGCGTTTGTATCAAAATATTTGTTTAATACATGTCACTAGCATATCGGCGTCATATCGGTTCATATACAGGGTACCCTGGCAGGGTGAGGAGGTAAACACTTTGATAGATGCTTCAGAGGAGATGGCACTTGAAGAGCTTCACACACTCAAGTCACTCGCTTGTTCTAGTTTGCACAAAGAGAGAGACTGCCGCAAAGCTTCCTCGCAAAAAAAAAAACAAAAAAGAAAACATGTACCTCAAGGTTTTTTTTAACCTTTTAAACGACATTGTTTTCACAATCTCTGGCCTAACAAATATTACTTTTGAACAAGCAACGGTTAGAGTGCCAGGAAATGACACTGAAGATGTGTGAAGTGTTTAATCTCAAGACAAGGTTTGCGTTCCTTCTTAAGCTCGGCAGTTGGATGTCGGCCTTTACGATGCAGTCACAACGCCCACACGTCGTACAAGATACACAATGTTCATTGCAGACGTGACAACAGTTATCTGCCGACACACCTCAAGCACGTTCGAAGCATGTTTGCTTCGTACAAATGTATGCGTCAAACACGTCTGCAGACGGTTTTTGTACGACCAACGTGGTGAACCGTCCCACGAGGAAGTAATGCACCTCGTGACAGTGCCTTTGGGCTGTCTTTTGCACCACGTGTCAGCTGTACGACCACGACTTTACGGGCAATGTGCTTAGAAAAATATGTTCAATCGCTCTTGATCTGGGACAGCGCTTTGTCCGTATGTGGTGTAGGCACCACACGAAGGATCGAGGCTGCACGTCGTTCGAGCCACATCCTATCTAACCTGTCTAAACAAGTCCATAGCTACATGTGCACGTCGCCAAATGTGAATTTGCGGAAAGGCTTCTCTCGGCAAAAGTGAAGGAAATATCGTGTTTAACCGTGACTCTTGCTTTTCGTGCACAAATAGTACACGGGAACTCTTTGTTCGCGGTGTTCTTCGTAAAAATGCAGTTTTCGGTAAATGCACCGACCTGCTGTGTATGCGGCTAATCTGTGGTTTTCTAATAGACAAGTAAAACAGTCCCCAAAGTGTCTTTCACAACGCTATTTCACGGCTGTGCAAGTCTGTCATCATAGTTTTTGCAGCAGCAATCGTCTAGGTTTGTTGTCTCTTCCAACGTAATAAGAGCCATAGCAAAACAGTAGTCTCGCATCTTAACAATTCCCCTGTAAATGACATTATTCAGGCCCCACTTCCCCTAAGGCGTAAATATTCATAAAAAATGCCGCTGGAGCATATATGTATATGTAATAGTGACAAACATCGGAGTAATGCCCAAAAGTTATGTAGTTATAGAACATATTTGTTAGAACATTTGCCAAAAAACAGATTGTGGCATTTGCAGATATAGCCCATGTTTCATGCACACCTTCATAAAATATATTGGGAATACCAACATTTTTTTTTTTAAATATGTAGGTGATTAATTGGGTTCGGTTAGGCCCGACCAGTTAAAGATTCTGGCCGTTTACAGTTCCACAAAGACAATATTGGTCACTTTGTGTGCCACTTGCAAGCAGCAAGTTTTAGCTAGGAAAAGGTGTTCTCTAGGAGATCTCCAACAAACCTTGCATGCTTTTATAATATCACACATTCTGTATCTGGAACACCTCCAAGAAGCATTGAGAAGATTGTCAGCTTGGAACGGGTTAGATGCAAAGATCGCCTTAGGAAGTTGGTATCTTGTCTTTTCGACAATGATGACCGCGATAACGGTGGAGGCTACAACATTATAAAAGTTTTGAATTCTTTTGCGACACTGATTCACTATTGAGGTCTCAACATAGCATTACACAAATACTGCAATGTCATAGCTTTTGTCATTGTCCTGTAAGGAAAGAACTTCGAGCTACAATTAATGGCAATGCTCTGTTTCCCAAAATTCCAGGCTGCAAACTTCCAGATGCCTCTATCAGGTAAACCAAATGCAGAGTATAAATTGTTCCAAAAATCTTCTTTGAACCAGGGCCTTACTCTCAAAACCTGTTCACTTTTTTATTTAGAAAAAGGAATAGAACCTACCCTCTGCTTAAAATGCATCACATGCATTGTTCAAAAGTTCAGCCTGTGACAATGCACTTGTGGCTAGATAAAAATCCCGGACCTAAGCCCCAAGTAACGGCGAAAGATCGCCCCGAGTACTGGCTGAACGTCTTTAGTCTCAAACTGAAGCGAAAGGTAGTCAACAAGACATAAGGAACAACACGAATGTCTTGCTCACACTTGATACAGTAGGAGACAAATTGAAGTGCTGGTTCAGCTAAACTAAGCTCATTTCGTTTTCCTCAAACAAAAAAAAAAAAAAAGCAGCAGTTTCGCGATAATTCAAATTCGGATATTTCATACTTCTGGTTAATTCAAACAAATTTCAAAAGTTTGTTCACCCGGTATGTTTTTAATGTATTCAGAGGCCGCTTAATTCGAGCGGCGTTTTCCTCTAAATTATACTTTTTGTTCTCGCGGTCCCGTTGAGTGTGCTTTTTTCCGAGCACCGGTGCACTGCAGAGAGGCAACACCCGCGGAGCTTGCTTCCGCGGGTGTTGCTTCTCCGCAGTGCACCGGTGCTCGACGACAAGCGCACTCAACGGAACTCAAACGGGCACACATGAGCCATGAAAACGGGCACCACGCGGAAATTTCTATAGCAACTTGCGCGAACGCTGTGACGTGGCGGCATGGCATAGGTAGACGTCACAGCATCTGTGCAAGTTTCTATGAAAACTGCCGCGCGATTCCCCCGTTTTCATCGCTCATGTGTTCCCTGTTTAATACGTCCTACTAGACAACTTCTTAACCTGTTTGACACACTTAATTTTGTTTTTAATTGTCATGTGCTGTCTAAACAGTCTACAATAAACAACATTTTTTAGAGATAAATAAACTTATGGCATAGATTTCACAAATGTTTCATGTGTGGCATACGTGCTTATAATCAGTAGGCCTATGTAGAGAAAATTATCAAGTATCTGCTTTGTATGTGTAGCCATTCATATGGCAAATCATAATCTAATTTTGCATTATATTTAGATGAATTTATGATAATTCAAAGAAAATTTCTGGCTTTCTGGAGTTTGAAATAATGAGAGTCTACTGTACTTCAACAAATTAACAATAAAGCATTGATAATACGCCCAGCACAACGGCAGTAAACACAATCCACGTATCAACACAGATTTCGTTCGTGCAGGTCTACGTAACAGTGAAAGTCAATCTAGTACCAAACTTCCGAGCCCCACACAACACAACCAACGGACTCCGAAACTTTGCAAATGCACAAGTCGTACTGGGAGCTTCGTGCGAATGGCGGGGAATTTAGCTCGACATGTTCTTCACACGTGCTCGTTGTAATAGTAGACCGTTATAAATGAAAATATTCTCATGGTCTGCACTGCTTACAAACGCGCATTCACACATGCTTCAATCGCCGACGGCACTTCAGAGTGACAGCGAGTACTTCCACGTCTTTCAACCTTTGGCTCTAGCTCACTACCCCGACCTCGTACGTGTGCACTATGGCGAGTGGAATGCGTCTTTGACTGGAGTGTTTACCGTACGCTTATTTCGTCCTTTCCATCCCAAGCTGGTGACATCACAACCGTGCACCGCCACAGATCCGAACCACAATCATGCCGGCGGCACAACGGCGGAGGCAAATGCAGCAGACGTCTGCCAGCAATGCTTGAATCTGCTCATTTTTGCCGGCCATTCTACAACCAGCCACCAGAACTCCCGACAACCCGTACCATGACATAGCAGTTCCTATGACGGATTGTGTCGCCACTTAGCGGACACTCCAAAGCGTGAATACACCAGACAGAAACACGTTCCAGTCACCAAGGTGAGCACGCTCGAAGATTGCACGACGCCAAAACGTGCATTCGAAGGTAGGACGATCGTGCCAGAAAGAGGATGTCCGAAGACACGCGCAGTCGTTCTAAAGCCGTCGGCGACCACGTGCAACGGCTCTCCAGTCACCTTCCTTAGCCACGCGACTCGAGAGCGAGAGATCGGCGCCGCACATCACATAAACCATCCGCGCATCAACATCTTTGTCCATTCGGCTGTGGGATGCCTCGCGAGCATGCACGGTAGCTCTCTTCTGCGGTACACCACAAGCCGCAAGTGCACCCATGGCCAAGTGTCTCGGCATTTCTTTTTGCTCGGGTGGTAAGCGCCGGGAAGGTGCATAGGCTGACCAAACTCTCTCTCCACCTTCCTCTTATTAAAGTCACTGACACCTCCTCGAGCCTGGTTTGCGGAATTGCACTTGAGTGACCGATTGCATTCCAGATGGTCGTGGCTACTCACGACGAGATAACACACTGGCGCCCCCCGTCGGGTAGCCTCGGCCCACTTCCAATTCGCACATATTTCCTGAACACGGCCGAACGTTTTGCAGTATTTGCGACATTAAATCTAGAAACTCTTTTTGAGAAACATTCGCTCGTAACTCTGTCAGAATTATTCAGGAGCCCACAATGAAAGAGTTGGGCAATATATGCAAAGAATCGGGCAATATTTGCGGAGCAGAAGCGTTTCCAGGGCTACCCGACAGATGGTGCCAGTTGCTGCGTTCAATCTTCCTGCACCGGCTGCCGTATTCGATTTACGACAGCAGCCCACCTCGAAACACGACCCTTCCGCACCGTGCTACCCTCTTCCGCACAGGTGCAGGCTGGTGCAGGTAAATCGAACGAGCAAAGCCTGTTCTCCCGTCGTAAGCAGTCGCAGGCAGTTGCAACACATTCAGTTGCACTCAAATGCAAACACGTGGACCAGCCCTCACGCGCATAAGTGCTCTTCCACTCGCCTCGAACGCACGAGGCGCGCGTCCGTCCACGCGTCCTCGACCCTAATCTTGCGCCTGGGCGGCGGCGGCTGACGCTTGGTGGCGATGCCCACGAGGACCGGGTTGAGGAGCACGCCGGCCGTCTCGCTGCGGGTGCTGTAGATCTTGCACTGGGACACGGAGGCAAAGTGCCCGCATGTCTCCAGGGCCGACTTGAGGTCGCGCGTGAGCCGGCAACCGCCAAACACGCGCCGCCACAGGGGGTCCAGGACCAACTGGACGTAGCGCCGCCAGTCCCGGGCGTCATGTCGCATGTGCTCCACGTAGAAGAACTTGCCACCCTGTGCAAGTGGAGTCGCGGTTAACAACGGCCGTCCCATCTACGGCAGGGACGCCAAACACCGCTTCGATGCAACTTCCCGCTAAGCCTCCACGTACGCGACCAATCTGACTCGCGTTTTCTGGCCTGTTCTTGCAGAACAGTCCGAGAGACAAAAGATGCTTGCCTCCCGGCTTCTCCTGAACAGACCAGAAGACATAAGTCAGATTTGCGGCATGGAGATTTAGCAGGAGACACAAGACCTTGTGCCTCGAGTCCAGATGCCTCAGGATTGAGTAACCTTTCATACCCAATTGTTAATTACTACCTAAGAATTCAGGAGGGCAAAAAATATTTAATTTGTTCAACCTCAAGTAACGAGATCACATATGTCAACTAAAGAGCGTCTTGTTACAGAAAATGCATTTTCCCATTAACTTTTTCAGTAAACTGTTTGTTGTAGAGTTGATTTGCTTGCCATTCGATGTTGCTATAGCGCATCCTCGTCTTTGTTCCTTCCCTAGATTTAGCAACAAATATATCCAGCTTTTCCGCGAGTTTAGTTTTTGGTGTCAGGATGTCACTGCATGGTTTTGAATCTCTTGAATTGCTGATCTCCCATCTGCAAAACAAGGAGGCAAAAAGAGGTTGGATTGTGTGCAAGGCATCCTTTTTGGGGAAGCGGGAGAACTGAGGCTCAACAATTCCCGGGGAGAAGGGCCACATCTAAAACAATTTGGGAGAGCAATGATTGCTCCAGCTGCTAGGCAAACTTTATCTTGATGGAAGATAACACTAAAGGTTTTTCCCCACAAAGCTGCCCCCACTATTTTTTAGTCAGACAACCTTAGAAAACAGCAGAACTCATTTTAGCGTACCGTGTTTAAGTACAGCAACAAAGACGAATAAAAATTTTGAAAAACTTGCGGTAAAGAAAACGGGCAAGAAAAATTACCACACCGCACCCAAGAATAACAAAAAAAACAACCAGGAAATGCTCTTATTGTTATAACGCTTGGCTCATCTTTTAACTCCTTCCAGCGACGCTATTGTTTCAGACTTGGATAGTATGCAGTGCAGCAAGATAACTCGGCCTTGCCACTATATCTTATGAGGAAACAGTACACTTCAAAACGGCTGATATGAGAGGGGTGCACCCGTATAGCTCTGCAATGTGCGTGTTGTCAGATATACTAGCAAACAAAAGAAACTGTGACCATCCCCGCAAGAAAGGAAAACAGAGAGATGCGTAGCCCTCCATGAACAGGTAAGCTAAGTATGTTGGTGCTTGTCTGTCAGAGTCCTGTCATCCTTGTGGTGCCATATGGAAGCATGAAAACTGTTTACGGTGATTTGAAATCCAATATTCGCACACAGAACATGCTGTACCTAAAATAGGGTGGTTGTGTAATCTCAGACTTCTAGAAAGAAGTCTGTCTCTTGCTTGCACACAACAATTTGATTGACCATGTTAAGAGGTCAATCGACTGTCACCTTTCGCATCGACACAAAACATCCCTCTACAAGATGCACAGCAAGAGTACTAGGTAGGCATTCAAGTCAACAAAACACTACATCCTAGTGCATCACATCAGCTAGACCTTATTCACTTTCTGGCTTTGTCTTCACCTTTTTAAGTCAAACCCAAGTATGAAGTCTGCAAGCAGAATCTCAAGGCTTCAAGAGGCACATCCACTGCTCGAACGTGTGTAGATCGTCATATCTTGTATTCTTTTCGTGAACACCTCCTGCGTGTACCTCGTGCATGTTCCCCCCCTCCACCCTATAGTTTGTTCCAGGCAAAGAAGCCCCTCCCACAAGGCTCTCTGTTCACCATGATTGGTGGTTTTCTCCTTTCCAGTGTTCACTCTGTTAAAGTTGAAAGAAAGGAGGGCTTTGTAGGGGGAGCTTCTCCTGCCATATTCTAAACCTGCAACAAACTATCATGCCTAAGAACTTCCATAAGCCGAGAAGATTTGCCGTACATGAGGTGTCAGAGGATCCAAGGGCCGCCGATGGGTCCCCGCCTCAACAGACAAACGCACCACGGTCCGAGGTGACACCGCGACTTCTAGGAAGGCAACAAGTAGCGACTCACGGGCACCAGTACCCTGGCGATCTCCTTGAGGGCCAGGTTGACGTCGTCGACACCGCACAGAACGTGAGTGGTCACCACGACGTCCACGTGACCGGTCGGGACGTCGGCTAGCGAATCGCCGCTCCGCACCAGGAATGTCTCCAGGAGCACGTGAAGTTGTGCTACATTCTTGCGCAGGTACGACTCGACGAAGGGGTTAGAGTCCACGGCGATAACATGGCAGTTCTTCGGATAGAAGACCAAATTGTGGCCCGCGCCGCCACCGATCTCGAGCACGCGGATGAGCCCGAGGTTTCTGAGGTTTGCGTCCCGAGACACGACGTGCTTCATCTTGTCGAAGAGGATCTCCTTGGCCTCGAGCATCGCGCCCGTCTCGCGCGACTGCGCGAAGTTGGACAGCCACGCCCGCAGCTTGAGCCGCCGCGTCGTGTGGTCCCGCAGGGCGTACTTGAGACAGACAGCCAAGATCAGGGTTGGAATGACGAAGTTGTGGAGGAACGTTGCGACCGCATAGTCCAGCCATGCCATTAAAGATTTAAAAAAAAAAGGAAAATATTAGAAAAAAATTAAACTAAATTTCTGGGTCAGCGGGTCACACGGAAAATGAGCTTGGAGGTCCTGGGCACTGTGGTCCTGGGATGGTGAGCTTTATGCGTACGCACAGCTCGGATCTTTCGTGTCCATCTCTGGAAGGTATTTGGGTTACTTCGATAACAAATTATCTTGAGACTTCTTTAAAAAGGGACTTTCATCCCCGTTTATCGCGCAGGTTTATCCTCCGAATCGTCCGCATATCGGTTGTTGCCAGGTGTCTTGCACCGCGTCTTGGAGAAACAGGAGAAACCTGGGAGAAAACAGCGAAACCGAAACTGATAAAAGCTAAACTAGGTCAGATATCAGTTCTTAGTTTTTGAGTGTTTGGATCAAGAGGTTTAAATTTTGATCATAATCTAATAAATAAAGACGCAGGGATGTTATTTTATTCATAATACTACCATACATGTAAATATTTCTTGTATTTATTTATCTAAGCATTTCAAATTGTATACGTGTATGTATAAATATACATTTAACATAAAATACTCAACAAAAATAATTTAAGTTGTCATATCTATAAGAACTAAGGTAGTTAAAATATTATAAAGTTCAATTATTATTATTCTTTAAGTGGTTGATCAAGATGGCGTCACTCACTGTTCACTTTATCGCTTGCGGCCATACTTTCTAGTACGTCTACAGCTGCGAGTACGCCCTGGCTCAAAAATGGCGCTTCCCATGCGAAAGGTCGTGGTCCGCTTAGGTAAGTAATGAAATGACTGGCTCATTTAATACTTGAGTGGTTGCTTCATTTTCTCTCCTTCTAGTGAGGACTAGATCCCACAGAGAACTCAAATTTTGAGCCACGCATTTTGTGGGACTTTTCTGCTCGTGGTGTTAAGCTGATTGTCACGCTTTCTTCTGTTCGCAGGACGTTGCAGTTCTTTTGTCACGCAAATCGTTCGAAGCCAGCACCCCACAACGGAGCGATGCCTCGCGCAACAGGCCATGCCTCAGGAAAAAGTGGAAGGTTGATATTTCCCACCATATTGCCTCCTTTCCAAAAGCTTTAGACCAACCAACATGCCTCGGCGAACGCCCGGAAGACGTTCTAATGTCCGGCAGGTATCGCGCGTACGTCCATCGGTGCAGAGCCGTATATTAGGACAGTCTGGCCAGTAGGCGTGGCGACGAAGGTGCTGGTGGGGAGAAAAGTTAGGAAAGGGTGGAGGGGGAGAGAGAAAGAGCGAGCGCCGAAGGAGCGAGGGAGGAAGGAGAGAGCAAAGAGCAAACGACCGCCATTTTGGCGCAACACGCTTTCGGCGCACAGCCAGGCTCACGCAGCTGTAGCCTTGGCCATTGAAACGCGCTCGAGGAGCAAGGGAGCGAGGAGGAAGAAAAGAGGAGAGAGAAGAAGAGAGGGTGCGCCACGGTAGAAGGTGGACGGAAGGAAAGAGTTTTGTAGGGGCCAACTTAATATATGCACCACGCCTGCCGCTAGGGGCGCGAGTAGTCGGAGGAATGCAGAATATGGGCGGATAGACTTATACAGCTGGCTCCTTTGAATGGGGCGTTTAGTCGCGCCACCTGGTGGCCAGTGTTTTATGGCGAACGAGCGGTTCTGGTGGTTTGCGGCGCCTTTGCGCTCGACCGCTTCCCTTTCTCCACTTTTTTTTGTATCCCAATATATATATATATATATATATGCAATTCTTTTTTGTGCATAAAAAAACAGAAGCAGGTTTTTTTCACGTGTATTTCATTTTTTTTTTATTTTTTCGTAAACATGGAAACACAGAAATTATTACACTGATTTATATAGCACAATATTCCACCCTTTCAAATATATCTTAAAAAAAACATGAAGGGGTTAATAAGGCGGTGCATTTGTTTGCAAATGTTAAAACTGCCAACTTGATTAAAAGTTACATACAAGGACGACACTTTTTGCTAACCAAAAATGAGCTTTCTTTTTTTTGCTGCCGTTGAAAAAAGGGACCATTCTACTCAAACATGTCTTATCAAAGAAAAAAAAAACGCCAAGGAAGAAAAGCTGAAATCAGTCTTATCCCAAGCTCTAGGTTAAGGCACGGCGTTGTTTTTTAAGCACTTCTTGTTTATAAATGCGTCCGCCGAAAAATGAGCTAAACAGAGATAGCGCTGTTTCATTCTCTTGTGATCTTTTAGCAGATTGGTGTACGATGCCCACCTCTCGTGCCTTAAATTAATATTAATAACGTATACTAAGAATTTACGTTCACCAGACTTCGCAGTAGCAAAGTGGAAATCGTCCGAACTGAAACCATACCTGTGATCTGTTGCGAACAGCATCAGAGAAACATTTGGCGTCTTATTAGAATTGCCGCACCATCTCGCAGAGCAGTACTTTCCAGGCAAGATTCACACTTCGTCTGTGACCAGACGCGAAACCGCGACTTTCTTCACACAAACCAAAACTAGCCGACCGACACTGCCGACCCGTCTCTGCCGTCACCGTACAACCAGTAGAACTCCGGCGATTTCGGCCCCATCCGAAACTGACGAGTCAGTGACCGTTGCTCCCTGCCGACCCGTCGGGTTTTGCTGTCACCGCCGTCACCGTACAAAAAGCACAACACCGGCGAGTCCAGCGCATCCAAAACCGACGAAACAAGGACCGTTGCTCCCTGCCGACCCGTCTTTGCCGTCACCGTACAACCAGCAGAGATCCTTCGAGTCCGGCGCATTCAAAACTGACGAGACAATGACCGTTGCTCCCCACGCGACAACAAAACGCCACAGCGCCACCGACGCCACGGCGTTTGTAGGGGTGTTGTTCCCATAATCATATGCACGACGGTGCTGGCCTCTACGGTATTTCTCCGAACGCAGGGAGCTGCGTTCGCCTGGCACAGCACTGTTGAGGCTGTGCGTCGTCTGCTACAAGCTGACTTCTTTTTCGCCTAAATGAAAGTTTGTGGCAATGTTACTAAAACATTCAGTTGGGAAAACCACCCGTGAAACCCAGACCGCTCGCATCCACTGAGACCAAGCTAAATACGAGAACAGCGCCCCCCTTTAGCGACGTGTCAAAACATGAAAGTTGATTTATGTAGCTACTGTTAAATGTCACTGCGAGACGCTGCCACCGGCCTTTGCGCGACTCGACCTGAACCAATACGTACAGTCGTGCAGTTCCCGAAGTGGCCACTGCGGGAGAAATGGCGGCGTTGCCATCGCCACTAGTTCGGTCAGTTTGGTTCTCGCAAATGGATCAGAGCCACTTTTTCAAAGCAGGCTGTATGGCAGTTTCCCAACAGTTGTTTTCGTAACGTTAGTTTGCAATCAGACATTGACAGAACTTCATTCGTTAGCTTTGTAACCCACCGAGGAATAACACTATATCATTTTCTTGCCAGAGCCAGCGAAATAAAAGGAAAGGAGCAAATTTGGATGTCGATCCCATGCATTCCACCGGGCAAATGAATGAAAATGGCAGCCCTCTCAGTTCAACTGGGAGCAGTTCGGAGTTTATGCGCATTCGCTCGCACCTCTCACTCTGCCCCGCGGGCTGATTGGCCAAACTCTCCCAATATACAGCTCTGCATCGGTGGCCGTAGGCTGAGAAGAAGGAACGTTCTGGCATTGCCATCTTTCCCTATTTCGTCGCCAGTGTCCCGCGGTCCCACCGTGATAGTTCCTCTGTATAGCCTTCCTTTTTTTTTAATGTTATACAAGTATTAGTACAATTAATATAAGCATGAACACCTCTCCACGGGCTCGCGGACAAATGAGTGTCCCCTATCGATTGCTCCAAAATATATGAAGGCACTTTTCAGACAAGACATGTCTCCAGCGATGGTTGCACCGCTCTGCACTTCCAGGTTGTCTTCTATACATGTTTGCAAGTGCAGCCTCGGGTGCCGCCATCTTGCTCGGTTGGGGTGCGTCACCCAAACCCAAACTGAGTAGGATGGTGGCGCCCTAAGGCCGTACATGCAAACGTGTGTACCTCGTTCACCCCTAAGTTGAGATTACGGTGGAAGCTACGTTCTCGTTGGACCAGTCGGACGCCTTCCTTTCCTCTCTCTCGCCACGTCATCACGCCCCTGCACATATTCATGTGCAGAGAGCCAGCTCAGGTGAGGTGATGAAGGGAGGCAGCTGATTGGTCCTGTGGGCATCTAGCTGCCACTTCAGTCTCAGCTCGGGGGTGAACGGAGTACAGTGAAGAACGGTCGGCGGAACCACGAAACTGTTGACCAATGACCAAGCGCACTTTTTGCTAGCAATGCGCGCTAGCAAAAATAGCTTATATAAATATTTTTGTAGGGTAACTTTTTCATTAGAATGTATTAGTAGTACATGTTCTTGCGACTCCGATAACAATGCCCGATACTTCGCCGACGTCTTCGCGCAAGCGTCATATTGTTATCGAAGGTATCGGTGCAAGCGTAGGCGATCTCCCTGGAGCCGTAAAACCGACACGACACAACATGAATCAATCGCAAACCTGCCCGCAGCGAGTGCGGCGTTGCTCCCAGTTTGTGGATCGACTATCATGCGATAACCGATCCACCACTTTCACTGGTTTATGAATAATCCACGCAAGGGAAGTAGGTCGCGAAAGGAATATTACAATTGCTTGCCCCGTGGCGCGCGCCACGTTAACGAGTTCATGCAGGCGACCCGGAGGTGAAGGGCAGCACAACGAGTGCAAGAGTCTACCTGTCTCGACCTCACTTCCATCTAAGCTTTACGGGGCATTTCTCAGGGGGACACCGAGAGTACCGCTGGTTATGCGGAGTTGTGTTCACACTCCTACTCATTGTGGTAGTGCCTAGTGAATTAGGAAAGTGGGTTTGATTTATTTTGACCCACGAAGTAGGGTCTCTTGTCCAGCAGCCAAATTTCAGGCAACACCGACTCCAATTATTTCTTTGATAGTCACTGACAACTAAAGCGCGGGGCGAGCCTTGAGTATTTCTTGTCGGCTTTAGTCGATAAGAATGCCCAAGAAAGAATATTGAAGCAAGAAGCGCGAGCTCAGTAAGCCACACCCTTCGTTTCTTTAGCCGCGAGTGACTGGAGCTGCTGCTTTTCGTGTTTTATTAATGTGTTGGCAATAAAACAACATGTTTGTAAGGGGCCTACATATTACGCCGTTTCAGTCGTAAAGAAGGAAAGCAATAGTCAAAAGCAGAATGCATATTTTGAACCAAGAGTGCACTTGTATCAGTTAATATTTGTTCAGCGGGATTCAGCGTTGACACCAATGCCATTAGCAATGCTAATTTGTCCCATGGTAACAGTTGCAAACAAGTGTTGCACCAATAAACGTCGAGGGCTTAAGACCAATAAACTCCCGGAGGTAGTCGCTGGGGAAGTCCAGTCCTATCTATCAAGCTATTCCGCAGCTGCGTGGGGGAAAGTTGTAAAGGGTGCGAAATAGAAGCTTCAGCTGCCCACCCCTCTTTCCCCTTTTTGGAAATCTCTATGGTTCATAGCTTTTGCAGTTACAAAAACACAACCCTTCCTTCCTTTGAAGGGAAGCTGAAGCTGTTTTGTATTTGATAAAACACTTAAATCATCTTCATTTGACCTCCAGGATCTTGAATATTTATATTATTTTTAATTTGGTGCATGGAGGCTGGAGAAAATCATTTTCGAGGTACCGCTGAAGGCCCTCCTTTTCGGAGCGCGACGTCACAAGAGACGTTTTCGGAATCTCCGCTTTCGCGCATCTTCAGTGCCTATGAAAACTATGCATGCGCACTCTTGCTATTTTTAAAAAGTGCAGAAAAAGACGTCGTGACTGGTGCCAGTGCGGGGAAATATACCTGGCAAACTCGCAATTGCAAGTGCGGTCCTCGAGCGACACGTGCTTGGCGGCCGAAAGATCCTCTTATGATGTCACGACTGGTCGGAGCTTTTTCGTGTTTTCTCGCGTTTAGTTTCATCTTCGGGGTAAGTTAACATGATATTCAGATTCACGGAATAAAGCTACGCTGGAATCAACCTCTATCCCATTTTTTAAAAGAAGTGTTTCAGCTTCTCTTTAAGAAGCAGAAATAGTATGGCCCAAACTGAAAGTTTAAAACAGTGGCTTCTGTTGGGACCCGAAAGTACTATGATCCGAGATTTGAAAGAAAAGTGGGCTGGCATTTTCTCAGGTCCATTGATCCTGTGCGCTGATTAAACATATCTGTAAAATACCGTCTTTTCTTTTTTGCCTTTTTTTTTGGGGGGGGGGGGGGGGGGGGAAGGGGGGGGGGTGGTTACCATGAAATTGGACTTTATCAGATAAATCCGAATTTACGAAAATTGTACCAGCAAATTTTTTCTGTCTTTTTTTTTTTAATTTATTTTATTTGTAAACACTCAACCCTAGTTATAAGCCAGTGATTAGTCGGGCTAAATATTCTTCATGAAACAGCCCCAGAGGCCCTTTTGCACACTTGCATTTGCTTACGATCGAGCTCTTGTGATCTATCACGATGATAGATCATGCTTGCACTATCTATAAGAGGACCCTGAATTCTGGAATCACATTTTACTAGAGCGAAGGTTTTGGTAGGGTTTGTGAGATCAAATGTAAGTACTATCTTTGAGAACTGGTCAGTTATGATGCCAAGAAAGAAACAATGTTGTGCAAATAATATAGAAAATGTGCGGAGATGCCCAGTGTTCCACGGTTGGCCGATAGATGGGGCCAGTGTCTAATCTCGTCATAAGAGATCACAAGAAATCGAACATAAGCAAAAGCAAATGCGTGAATGGGCCTTAAGCTGTTGCAAGGGCGTAAACCAATCTTAAGTCGACGAGGCAGCGTTAACCGTAAACCTGATTGCCAATCGTCTTGTTTGTCCGTCTGCCCGTCTCGGAAGAGCCCTCAAAGCCCAGGACGCTGTCGCCACTGGAGCACGCCGACTACTTTGGCGTCAGTAAGCTCATCTCGGTGAGGGAGCTCTTTGAGGCCCGTGCGCACCTGGGCCACAAGGAGGGGCTTCTGAACGACCTGATGAAGCCGTACATCTTCGGTTCCCGCCTGGGACATCACATCATCGACCTGGACCAGACGGTGCCCCACCTGTTCAGGGCACTCAACTTCGCAGCACACATCGCCTACCGGGACGGCATCATCCTCTTCGTCACGCGGAATCAGCAGGTGCGTCACCCCACGTGAGCGGGTTTATTCCCATTTCGAGCTTCTGCGAGCACTTCTAGTCGACAAAGAGACCGAAAGAAGAAACAAAATGGGAAAATAGAATTTGCTTGACCATTAACATCTCCAGCGCTCGACACAGAGGCCAAAGATGCAGAGTCACTGGGCTGTGGTTGCTGGCATCTGATATTCTGTGGGGGACACCTGTTACTCGTGCTCAAAAGTGTGGAACGAAGTATAGTTGCTTCCCTTAGCGATTTGTAATTGATCCTGTCTGCGGGAGCCGTGCCCGTGCAGAATAAATACCACCAAACGCAGATCTGTTCGGAGAAAGGTAGACTCCAAACTGTGTCACAGATAACACGGTCGAGCGACCGCCACGGTCGCAGTATGGTGCCTGGAACACGTCTTCGACTGGTGTGTTTGGCACCCCGCATCAGCCATGCATCGCAGCAGCCGGCATGCCGCGTCGCTGGATGTTGCGATCCAGGCAATTGGTTGTAGAAGTCGCAGCAAAAAAGACGAGCGAACGCAAGCGTCGCGCCATGCCAACTCGTTGCTACAGATGCTTCCGTGGACTGTCAAGCTGTAGGGCGAGCTGTAGCCAAACAAACTGCTGCCTTGTCCTCCTTTACGGCTGTGCCGCAATCATAGCAGGCAATAACACGACACTTTAACGACGTCGTCAGGCTGAAATCAAGGAACCACATTAGAAAACGCGGTAAACACACCAGTCGTACACTAGCTCCAGGCCCAAGGTCGGAGGAAGCGTAAAGCCGCAATCGCGGTGCTAATACATCATACAAAAGGCAGTCCCAAGACAGTGTGTGAGGTGTGTTTTTCTTGTATGATGGTCACATTGGTCGTACAAAAATTGTTTGACAACCAATGAAATTCATTTGATGGGAATGCGTTAGCATTGGTTCTTTGTCACTCCTTTCCATTCGTTTAGGACCCCATACGTTTATCACCGCTTTCCTGTCGTTTATTAATGCCTTTCCTCTTCGGTTTCTGCTGTACACTTCTGTCGCCTTGCCTCGCGGCAGCAGCCAAACGACGCTTACGCTCTTCCCGGCTTGGCCTTTTGTTGCCGACGCATGGCCTCGGCTTTCTTTCGTCATCGCAGTTGGATACGGTCAGCCATATCACTCGAGCAAAGAACCACATCTATCGCCGGAGTGGCAACTGAGCTGGGGTGCATTCCAAAGCGGCGTGGCACTTGCTCGTCTCTGGCTCCGCGCCAGCTGTGCGACACTCACATTGGTCTGAAGCACTGACGTCAGTATACGTCACCCTCTCCCTCTCTCCCCGCCGCCGACACAATATCTCCTGACCACCCCACTCTCCTCGCTACGTCATGCATGGCACTGACACACTGACTGACACCGGCAGGTTTTTGTGAAAACAAGCGTCCTAATGCTAACGCGTTAAATCTGTCTGCAGACAGGCTTGAAGCATCCTTACGTATGAAGCAAACATGCTTTGAACTCGCTACAGGTGTGTCTGCAGGTAATTATTTCCTCATGTCTGCAGGAAACATTGTGTGTTGTGTGTGATGTACGGGCACCGAGACTGCGGCTATAGAGTATGCGGTAAACACACACGTCGTTGATTAGCTCTAGTTTGCACAGTCGGCGGGAGCGTAAAAAGCCGTCGGCTGAAGCTCTCCGCGGCTCGCAGACGTCACACATGGTGGAGGAGGCGGCCAAGGCGTGCGGGGAGTTTGCGCACACCCGCTGGTGGCGCCCGGGCCTGTTCCCCAACTCGGAGCGCCAGTTTGGCACCGTCACCCGGCTTCCCGACCTGGTGGTGCTGCTCTCCACCCTCGACACGGTGTTCGAGGAGCACCTGGCCGTGCGGGAGTGCGCCCGCATGCTCATCCCGACGGCGGCCGTGGTGGACACCAACTGCAACCCCAGCCTGGTGACCTATCCCGTGCCAGGCAACGACGACACGCCGTCGGCAGTGGAGCTCTACTGCCGGCTCTTCAAGGAGGCCATTTTACGTGGGAAGGCCAGGAGGGCCGAGGATGCGAGAGCGGCCGCAGACACGGAGGGCGCATCTTCGTTTCCCGCGGCGTCTGACAACCGACAGGCGGAAGGTGAAGAAACAAGGGACCGAGCCGAGTAGGACTGTTGCAGGTTGTTCAAGGCGTGTGCTTGTCACGCGACGGACATTGCCTATGGCTGTAGTCACTGGCACGATTAGGGCATGTTCACACTCTTGCAATTGCTTATGACCGAGTGCCTTAAATACCTCTTGGGATCTCTTGTAACGAGAGACACAATGGTGCCATCTATCGGGTAGTTGTTGAACACTCGGCAGTTTCCGCATATTTCCTGTTCTTTTCGCGCATCATTCTCGCTTTCTTGACTCAAAGAACTTGTGACATTAAAAGTGACCATATCTTATTGATAGTGTGTACATTTGATTTTGTAAATACCGCAGAACCTCTGTTCTAGTAAAATGCATTTCCAGGGCAACCTCGTAGATGGTGCCAGCGTGGTGCCAGTGTGTTCTCTCATCGTAAGAAATCACAAGAGCTCGGTCCTAAGCAAATGCATGTCTGTGAATGGGCCCCAAGGTGTGTGCTTGTTGCGCGAGATGGGCGTCACAGATAGTTATGGTCGCTGACAAGATGAGAATGTCAGGGAGGAGTTTTAGTTGTCCCGCCTCCAGCGCGAGCGTCCTACCTTCGATAACACTCTGGCATCCTGTGAGCCTGGAGCATCCATCGCATCCTGGAAGCCGGGTGTCTAAAAGGGACACCCCGACACTCTCAGCTTCTCAGTGACCATAGCCATACAGAAATATGAAGCCAGGGGGAGTCCAGCTAGTAGTCATGCTATAGGGATCGTTTTGGCATATGGTGCCGCCCTAGCTCTGGGCCTAATCAGGGCTAACACAACATTCACAGCCTTCCTTTCTGGTGAAGAACTCCCAGTTCAGCCTCCGTTGGCAAGGATGTCGGGGGCATCCAGGGTATATAAAGCGTTATTATCGTTACTATGTATTGTGTTCTGTTCCATCGTGAGAGCATGGCAGGTTACCAGCTTTCTAAGGAGTGCTGCGTGCATTGTGCAAGCAGTCATTCAGTCAAAAGCGCCTTCTATACTTCGTTTCAGCTTCGGTCCAGACGCAGCCAAAGCTACAAGCGCGAGCTCCGGGCTTTCAGCATCCCTGCCAAGCACGCGCGCTCGTGCAGTGCAAGCACTGTTCTGGGCCACATGCTCGCGCTTATAGCATCGGCTGCGTCTGGACCGAAGCTGAAACGAAGTATAGTTGTGTGCTCTTATTACCATAGAAACAAGGTATAGGGATCAGGCATGTAGCCAGAGGGGGGGGGGGGGGGGGGGGGGGGGGGAGGAGGAGGAGGGCATATGGGGCCTGCCCCCCCCCCCCCCCAACCCGATATCTTCCATTTTGCTGGGGCTTCCTCTCCCCCCTCCCCCTCATACAACATTTTGTCATGGGTGGGTCCCCCCCCCCCCCCCCCCCCCCCCCCCCCCTGAAACAAAATCCTGTCTACGTGCCCAATAGGTATGCTGCAGTCTCTAACAAGCTGAGAAGTGCAGAGTGTGGACAGTATTGGGTCTGCCTCCCACCTTGTTCATGTTGCCAAGGTTGGCAGTACTGGCTGGCATTTTCATACCCAAAGCGCTGACCAAGTCGACTTGTCAGTGACAGTGTGGCCCCGCTACAGTATGTTTGCAACAAGATTTGGACAGTGTAACTGAGCAAATAAAATCCAAACCCACATTTCTGCTCTTGATCCTTTGCTGAAAGCAACTAGTGGTCTCCTTAATATTGGCTGTTCACACATGCAGCGGAGCGCTACAAGCATAGCGCTTACCTCGCGCTAAGCGCGTGCTGACGGGAGCGTTCACCAGCTTTGTATCGCACCGTCAAAACTGTTGGTCATGGCAGACGATAAGTAGCTGACGGCACGTGAGAAGCGCTACATCAGCGCTCCGCTGCATGTGAGAACCGGCCTTTATGCGACCCAAATCGTCGCTGCGGTCAGCCTTCCACAATTGACCGAAAGCTCACTATGACTTCCCTAGTAGGATTTGTCCTGCCTTCATTGCCAGAAATAAGGGTAATGTCAGAATGTCAACTTTGGTGGTGTTACTATTGAGCGCTGCTAATAAGCTGCTGTTGAATAGAACACATTTGTTTGAAAGCTTTTGACCACCACCACTTGTGTTCAAATTGCGGCGGAGGTGCCCTCTATTGGACGGAAGCTTCGTTGCATCCCCTTCTGGTCCAGGTGGCATCTGTCAAATTTCCCGTACCCTTCGGTGTAAATGACACATGACAACAACATTAACCTATTGCATAGAAGGAGTTGCATGACTGAGCTTCCGCCTGGACATCAAAAGACTCTCGATAGTCATTAATCCTCAATCCTATTCTGGGGCTTGCAAGATGACCTTCGTTGGTTTCACACATAAATCCCCAAAAGGTATACCAGTGCCACTTGGTGCTAAGCAGAGTAAAAGAACCTGCTTTCACCTTTAACTTTTTTTAGAATGTATTGTTTTGTTGTTAATTTTTGCGTAAATATATCTTGGGCAAACAACATAGACTTATCTTGTCTGTAGGGGCTGCATCCTTCCATGCCACCTCTCCCCAACATGAACTAAGTGGCCTTTCCTTTTTTTTAACAGTATAAAACATCTTTAATTTAAAAAGAAACCAGTTGAGCAACAAAATGTGTGAGGACTACAACAGTGACACGACCTCCCCGTTGTCCGAACTTTGGTCTGCTTCTCGGTGAACCAGCACCACTTCCCTGTCCTTTGCCGCAAGCTGGGCCATCATTTCAACTGCCTTGGCGTGAAGAGCGGCAAGCGTGGGCGGGTTCGTGGAATGGAGAGCCACCAAAAGATCAAACAGATCGGACGAGTAGGTCACGGGACCCTCGGGGACGAGCGGGTCAAAGCCGTCGAAGAACGGCATCTTACCGCTTATTCCACCACCGTTCGCGATACCCACGCTCGGTCTGCGGTCTACGAGGGCGATGCTGGCGAGCTTGGTGAGCACAAACCCGAGGCACACAACCGACGTGCTCGACGGCGAGTTGGCCTGAATCTCGTAGTGGCCGCCGACGCTGATCTTGTCGCCGAGGAAGATGGACTGTACCCTGTTCCTGAAGGAGAAGGAGTCCACCCAGGACTTCCAAGTAAGCTTGTTGTCCAGGAGCAGCCTGTCCTGTACTATGTAGACGTTCTTGAGGTCGAACCGTCCGAAAGACAGTCCCTGGCCCTCGACGTACATAATGACCGAGGACAGCTGCCGCGCGACCTTCCACAGGAAGTACTCAGGAAAGCAGAGGCCATGCGACACCAGGAAGATCTCTAGCCTCTTGAGCGTCGCTTCGGGGGTGTCCATAATGAGGAAGAGGTTGGCGGTTTGGGCGTCCTGCGCCAGCGCGTAGACGCACATAAGGTTCGGATGCGCGAGCTGGACCCACCGCCAGAAGCCGATGGACAAGCGCGACGAGTCCGAGGTGCCGACGTGGGCGGCCATGTACTCGCAGCCGTCGAGCGGACACGTCACGCGGTACGTGAGCGCCCTGTGGTACATGTTGAAGTCGAAGATGTCCCGGAATGGCGCGCACTCGACCTCCACGAAGTCTTCGGTCTCCAGAGACGTAAGCTGCCTGCGGATGAAGGGCGGTAGCGACGGCAGGGCACGTCCCTTGAGACCTCGCAACGTGACTTGGCGGATGACGGCGCGGTGGCAGAGATCCTGCAGGGTCCTGGGCGTCTTGCGCGGTGGCGGCGGCTTGGTCTTGGGGAACGGGTTGTACATATGCCGTCCCTGACCGAAGCCGTGGACCAGCAGATCCATGGTGGCGGCGCCTCCACGGTGCCGCCAACGGCTGTGGCCGTTGCAGCAGCCGTGCCGATCTGCCGGGCAGGATTGCTCTGGGCGCGCGTGAGGACTTGGCACGTGGCCTGCGGGAGCGTCTCGTGATCGCGCTTCTGGACCCGTATTTATAGACTCCGCGGAAATTGCCCTCCGCAACGTAGGGCTCCCACGTCTGTCTGTGTGTCTGCCTTGGCCCTGACTGGCGCGACGCTGATTTTTTAAGCCCTGGGCCTCGAGATCCTGGCGTCATATGGAAATGGTGCAACCTTGTGTTGGTTTTGGGGAGAGAAAGCTGTTTGCAAACATCGGAAACTGTCAGCAGAAAGCGTCGCGTGGTGGATAGTCCGTAGCTTTTATTCGGACCTTAGCCGAGAAGTTGTTGTCCGGGAGCTGTCACAAAAGGCGGGGACATCTTTGATGAGGCGACGGTACGTGTCTTATTTATTTATTTATTTAACTTTGCACATTCAGGTTGCGAGAGGATTTTTGCTTGAGCAGAGCACTTTGAAGTAGCGACTTGACGCTTGCAAAAGCAACTGTGTCGTTTGCTAGCTGTTGATTTAACCCAAATGCGCACTGCCTCCAATTTTTTTTTTTCGTTCTTTTTTTTTTTCTTTTTTTGAGGATGGATATTTTGGAAAAAGGTTGAGTTCAAGATTGCGCTTCCACGGAGAAGATTTACTAAGGACAATTAACGACGAAGTAGTGTTCCCCTGGCTGCTATTGCTGCCTAAACAAAACAAAAACAAAACAACAAAAATGTTCTGACGAAAGGGGAAAAAATAAACGAAGGATAAAGCACGAGTGCCTTGGACCCAAAATAAATCGATGCACGTGATATGCGCTCCACGTGACACAGGGCATGCGAAGGTAATACATGAAAATGTCTCACTGTAACTAGAGCCAGGCGTCGCCATCTTGGTGTTTTGGTGCAGAGCAGACGCAACTGCCGATCGTCATTATTCAAAAGTGCGACTTCCTCATCATCAGATCCAGTGTTAGGAAGCTCATGGAATATTGCTTTGCTGTGTCGCAAACTGTTTAAGCATTAATAAAAAAAGTCTTTTTTTGTTTTTGTTTTTTGCGATTTCAGATAAATTTTTAGATAGCTGACAACCATGCTTTTAAGCCCCAAGATGGGTAAGTGTCGTTACTCTGAAGCGTATCTTATCTAGTGGCTCTAGCTGTAACTCATGCACACGACGTGTTTAGGGATGTAGCATACCTTTAGGTAAGCGCATTGATATTGAGGTAAAAGTAAACAAAAATAATGAGGGATATATTAAGCAGGACAACATATCCTTCACCACACGAAGTTTCAATGCCGGCAAATCATCCAGCTGCCAAGTCTGTGGGAAGGAAAGGGAGGGGGGGTTAACACCGGCCATACGCCCGCTGAACCAATCATTGCACTGCCCCCCCCCCCCCTCTTTTTTTTTTTTCTCCACGTGCCTGCACTGCATACTACACCACAATGCACTCAGCACACCCAGCGTTGCAAACTGACAGACTAAGTCAGGGGTCTCAAACATGCGGCCCGCAAGCGCCCCGCGGCCACGAGCTCCGGTTCCCATGCCTTGACGGCACATGCGCTATAAATAATCGTTTTGCGTGTGTGAGGGAAAGGTGGGGGGGTCAGCGTATCAGGTGTTATTACTATTAGGCTAGGAAGGCGAGTCTTCGCTCAAGGGGGCACTTCGACTACACGAACTCTTACTCAGCAGAATCAACTGCTAAAAAAAAACGCCATGAGCTCGGGCTTCTACACCTGTCAGACAATGCTGTTAAAATACAAGTATTTTCTCATGATGCTGCTGTAAAAAGCGTCAGGAAAGTAAAAACTGTTGTATGAAGAGATATATTTTCTGTGCCTGTTGAGTCTAGTGAATTGTGCCACAGGTCAACGACGGTGTGCTTGTTCTCATTCCATTAGAAACTGCCAGTACGTTTGTGTGGTGGTGTTTCAAATCTTTTCATAACGTCAGGTGAGGGCCCAAAGTAGTCAGATATGCAAATGCAAATAAAAATAACAAAACAATGAGTTTACAAAAAAAAAGAAACAGAAAGCGCACAAGGTCTTTTGTACAGAAACAGCACTGCTGCTTGTTTAGCTTATTTTTATGCAAAGCATGCCCCCCCCCCCCCTCCCTCCCCCTTTGTTGGCCCTCGCCCTTTCGGGGTGGGCTATCTGGCCCCCCACACTCGAATGAGTTTGAGAAGTGGACGACACATGCAGTGTCGTTGTCCTTTCTGCCACTCAGACTGCCAGTTTTACACGATGCAGAAATAGCGCACAAACGGACAAAACGGAAGGCAGAAGACAGACAACCATTTGTGTGTGTTCCGTTCCTGTCCCTGTCCTCGTCTTTCTGTGCGCTATTTTTTCATCACGTTCTCGACCAGTACCAACTCGCCCAGCTCACCATCTTACTACTGTGGGTTTTACCCCACTCGCGCTTCTCATCTTTCTCATTGGCTGATCGAGCACCTTCCATGCCAAACCGATGAAAGGATGAACAGATGTCCGACTGCATCGCGGGTCAGCGTACAGACAGGAGTTTCTAAAATGGCGTCTGCTGCAGGCACGATGACAAAGTTGTCCACGGACGTGCCTCAAGCGCATTGAAAGTATGTCTGCTTCAAGCAAGCAAAAAGCGTCGAAAAAATACAGGGACACAGACGAAGGGAAACAGGACAAGGCGCACTCTCAACTGATGTTTATTGAAAATTCACACGTTATATAACCACACACACACACACAAAAAAAAAAAAGAAACCTTTCTACCCTATCTACTCAGCCCGCGTTTCAAAAATTCAAACTCATTTGTAGATAAGGATATCGATGTGTCACTTCTACAATTCTTGTCTCTGGTCCTAATTTCATACGCCTCGTGTAATTCCCGCGACACTTTATCTTTGTACCTAGCCAAAATCTTGGTGTCATTGAAGGCCGGGGTGCAAGAGCATCTATTGCAATGAATTGCAAGGTGCCCCGAAGGCGTCGGTCTTGTAGAGGCAGCGTGCTCTCGGGTGCGATCATTGACGCACCTGTCCGTCTGGCCCACGTATGTCATCCCACACGTCATGGGGACTTCATAGACTTTAATGTCTGCTTCAGTGTAGAGAATTAAAATCGATACGATTTAAATCGTCGTCAAAATCACGATCGTGAATTAAAATCAGACCCGTTTTACTACGATGATTTAAATCAAGCCTTTCCCGCAAAAATATTCACAAAGTTATTTTTTCTTTTTTCTTTTTTTTTCTTTTTTTTTTTACAGCGGAGCTGTTAAAGGGGCTCGGCCCTGCAATCATATTTTAGCGTCTACCTTTTTTGCGGTTTCCACGTCTCTTGGGGTTGGGGCAAGCCAGCGGGCACGGAGAGAGTAACTAAATATCAGTGCGTCATATTTTAACCGGACGACGCGGAAACCTCCTCCACCGACGAGGGCGACCCGCGGTACCGAAAGCGCGCAAAATGTGACGTCTTTGGTTCTGGGCTTGTCACTGGTCAAAACCGCCAAGAGCTTTTTTTTAGTCGAGATACAAAATAGAAGTGTCGCGAACCGTTTCAATTATGTATGAAAGTAGTTTTTGTTCACTATTTTAGATCAGAAAAGAAACAAATGCTGTTTAGAAAGTACGGAAACGAGAAATGACCCGTCGACCTACCGCCACCAAGCGGCGGAAAAAAACGGCGCATACTAGAAAAGGCTAGTGGGATGAGGCTACGACAAACGAGGAGAGTAGAAAGGTCCCGGATGTACGCGGCGGCGCTGCGGTCGTATACCGGCTCAAGAATCCGACCGGTTCCGAGCGTTCCGAAGGCCTTCGGCGCGGGCCCTGTTGGCGATTTGGCCATTTGGCGGTGCGTCAGCGCGAAGTGGCTCCCGTTCTGAACTGATCTTTACCCCGTGTTTGCTGTCGTTTGTGGCCAATGAAATGTTATGCCGAATTAGTGTTCAGTCGCGCTGCAAATGCAATACGAGCTGCCCTGGCCGCCCGCTTCATACAGCTTATCCAACACGTGCTTTAGTGGCGCCCTCTCGAGCCGTCGACACGGAGTGCGGCAGCCGTATGCGCTCGATGAGCTCACTACCCCTCCTCTAGTTCAAGGCCGCTCAAGGCAGGACCTACGACGTCATGAAGGAGGTTATTTTTTGCTTGTTTTTGTAATTCTAATTTGCCTATAACTTTTAAAATAAAGCGAAATTTGAGAAAAGAAAAGTTGGATTAAGTTACTACGATCAGCACGCTCAAGTTCAGTGCAAATTAAGAACCAGTCAAAAAGTCATTGCAGAACCCCTTTAAGGGCTAGTTTCCCCAGTTTCGTTTCCGTGGGCAAACAAATCTCGACACAAAACTCTGGACAGCTACCGCCATCTATTAGCGACGGCGGCAACCTTTCCAACCTTTCCACTCTGCATGGCTTGCCGACTTGCCGCGGGGCCGGCCATTGCTTGATTCCCACCATAGTACAGCTTCGCTGGTCTTCCTTCTTCACCAGAGTGGAAAGGCTGAAAGTTTTTTTTTTTTTTTTTTTCGTTTACCGTTTGTCTATCATTTGATGCTTGCGATGGGCATTTGTTTTCTGCTACATCAGATAGTCATCGAGCAAGAGAGATTTATGTAAGGCTGAATGCGAGCAAACAGAAGTCCTCTTCTGAGCAAATCAGAGCGTTGAGCTCTATTTTTACCTTCCATTCCGTTCGTGAGCTACGTAACATCCTATTGCTACAAAATCAAAACGCAAAACAAAGAAACGAAAACTGGAAAAATAATGTCATATTCTGATGAAGTCAGAACTCGAAAGAAAAATAAAATAAAGCTTTTTTTTATTTTTTAACTAACTAAAAAATCACGTTTTTGTTTTCTAGAATGGCGGAGATTACAGCAGTAAAAAGTTAATTTGACTGTAATTTACATTTACAATATTTTTTTCTTCCGCATTGTTAGCAGTGATTGGACGAATTGATCAATCAATTTGCTATGTTGAAATATACATCTGGATGATTCACTATTTTCTCGCTAATGATTTAAATTAAATCAAATAAATCTTATTTTAGTTTTTTTTATTTATTTAGGCCATGATTTTTTTACATCTTTGTTTGCTTCATACATATGTATGTTTCAAACATGTCCAACGGCAGTTTTTTTTTTTTTTTTTTTTATGATTAATGTGCACGAGACTGTCATACAAGGTATTGAGACACTTATTGAAATCATGTATTTTATATGAAAATGAGGATCCTCGTCTATGGGTGGCGTGCCCTGAGGCGAAGGGAGGGTTATAAGGTGGAGTGAATGACTATGGGGGGCGCTGTTGGATGAACTAAAGAATCCCGGATTTTCCGAGGAACTCCACCAGGGAATTCAGGATCGCCTTTCAGTGTGCTTCTTCGCCTCCTGGGTGGGTCCAAACTCGTTGTCGGTTTGTCGTAGGCGGCTAGTTGTTCCCACGCCGTTTTCCGATGTTCTTCTAGGCCTCATTTGTACGCCCGTAGCAAGTGCCCGATGCTTGCCGTCTTGTCTTCGCTACATGTTCTGCAGATCAACACTTCCCAGTGGCTATATAGCTGCCAGTTTGGCCGGTGTAACTGCCTTGCTTGTTCTAATTCTTCGACGTTTGCATGGTCGCTTCCCATCTTTGGGTTGCGGGTAGTCCTCGGTCGGCACGACACGCTTCAGGGAGGCTTTCCTAGCCTGTCTGTCTAGTTCGGCCATAGAATAATATATGGTTAGGCCTTTTCCGTTAGGTCTTCCGCCACTCCTTTGTCCTCACCAATGGTTGGGCCTGTCGCAGAGCTTGCTGCCCCCGCTGCGGCCCGGTGAGCCCCCCTCGTTCCCGGGAATCTGTCTGTCTGTCCCGGTACCCATTCAAATTACAATGACTGCGGACGGTCTTTTATTGTGACCGCGTCTTTAGATTTCGTTCCAGATTGGCGATGAACGACGCGCTGTGTCGGCTGGCCAAGTTCAAATAGAAGCGACACTCCCCATCTGTTCTTGCTAACGGGAGCTCCGCAGAAACCGTAACAAAGAAAAAAGAAAACAAACAAACAAAACAGCAACGTTAAAAAAAAAAAAAAACGAGAGATAAATGGGGGGAGGACTCTCTCCGGGAATTTCGCGGTCGTCGTTTCCGGTGCCGTCTGACGCAAGTCTGCGCGGAGCCAGAACCGCCCGACGTTGGCCGGGCTCCAGCCCCAGTCAGCTGATGCGGCGCGGCTAGAACGCCTGGTGCGAAGTGCCCGCGCCTTTTCCTCATTGCATAGGTCTGTGACGTCACGCCAAGGTGCTAGCTAGTACTTGGAACGTGGCATAAGTAATTGCTGCGTTTTTCTTTGTTGCACTGGTTTTCGCACATGAGCACTGCTTCCAACTCCTGCTGGCAAAAACGCGCTCGTTTATAAACGGGCAGGATGGCATTCGAAACTGCCAATAAATGGCCCTCCTTTCACCACTTCAAGGACCAGTGAGGAAGGCGACCAGTAACGCAAAACGAGTGAACACCCTTCTCGCAAACTGAAGGCTGGTTCACAAAGCACCGTCTGGTTACGTCGTTGCGTTATGTTACGTGGGCTCACGTATGCTTACGTCGAGACACGCTGGAACATCCATGCTTTGAGTGAAGCTTGGCAACCAGTTGAAGGAGTTGAAAACCCTGAGAAAAGGGGGAAAAAAATAAAGAAACGGACAGACAACACAAGTTGAGAACTCGTGTTGTCCTGTCCGTTTTATTATCTCCTCTTTTCTCGGGGTTTTCAACTATGTCGTTTAACCAGCTCTCATGCACTCCTTCCCTTCTGAAGGAGTATATAGCCTTGCGCGCGAAATTCGAGCCACGAATGTTCTGGTGTCTCAGCGTAAAGTAAAAAAACGTCCCTGTGTGAATGGGCCTTGAGACAATGGCTTGCACGTGACGCACGTCATCGCCCCGTGCTGCGAGTCATTTTATGTCACTTCGTACTATGTTTGCCGAGAGAACGAATTCAGCGGTGCGTAATGCCTGCTTGCAGAAGGTTCTCGCTCAGCAGCAAGACCATCATAATGGCCGCTTATGTGATTTCATTACAAGTCATGTATTGGCTGAATTGATTAAAGGAGGGCCGATGGTTGGTGGGGGTTGGTGGGGGTTGGTGGGGGTCGCTGCCGCAGTTGCCACCGGCCGCGGGGTTCTGGCCTGGGGCCAGAAGCCCGCGATCGCCGTCTGTTGCAGGCGTCTCGTGTGGGGAGGGGGACGACGAGGAGGTTGCGGAACCAGCAAGGGTCGCGGCTCCCGGTGTCGACAAACCTTCGGAGTCGTTTCGCGCTGCCTTCTTTCTTGGCCCCGTATGCACTACGGCGAGGCATCAAGCGCCGCCGACCCTGGCCAAGATGGCTTAAAGAGCGCTTTCAAAGGATCCCGCTTTTTTTTTTTTTTTTTGCAAAACAAACACAAAGCGAATTTCGGCGTGCGTCGCAAGCGATGTGTATCGTGCGCAAAAGAAACCTCGGGCTCAAGGCTGGGAAAGGGTAATGCAGAAGGGAAGAAAGTGCTGAACACAGCTATTATTTCCTCAGGATTGACAGTGGGATTACTGTAGGGTGCTTGAAATGCGTCGCAGACTGTGTCTACACCGAGTCGTATTTATTTTGTTAATCAGATCAAAACAACATTGCCCTTAGGTGGTTAGAAACCTTTGAGGCGATCGTAGAATCAAAAAAACGTTAAGGAACCTCCATCTTCAGTCCAGCTAAAGAACTAGGAAGCTACCTACAGTTCTTTAGCTGGACTGACAAGGTTCATCGCGGAGCGACGCTGTTTGCAAACAAGTCAGCGGTTGCCTTGCTCGAGGTGAAGCTTCTGCGCATGCGCCATGCCGACAGCAGCGCCACCGCAGCGGCGTGACGTCATAGATAGATGACAAGGCCTGGCGCCTTTCCTCCAAAACGTCATGACTGTAGTGGAACCACGCAGTGCCGCCCAGCCTGCGTCAGCGCGTCTTGCAGCGTGTGGGACGCTAGAGCACACAGCGACGCCAAGACGGACGCGTCTGATGCTTTGCGACGACTCTCGAAGCTTCAACGTATTTGCCACTTGGGGCAGGTCGGGGGGTCTACGAACGATGACGTCGTAGACAGGCCTTGGCTTCTAGGCGGTATTGGCATTACTCAGGCGGTTTAGCGAGCGTAAGATTGAAACCCATAGCAGCCACTCAAATACATGGTATTTCTAAGCGCTGTCCAAGCGTATTTTTAGCAATAAATTAATTAACGGAGTGCACTGAAACTTTCATAAATATTTCTTTAGGCCCGTGCATTTATTATACTCAAATATAATGAATGAGATTTAGAAAGAAAAAAAAAATAAGCATAAAACCCCCCTTTTTGTTGTGTGCGCACGCGAGGACATAGACTTTTGGATCCGCTGAATCTGCTTTTGGGGTGTTCATCTCAAAAGAAGCCTTCACAATTTTGCTTCACGTGGTTCCCTCTAACAGCGTCAACCAGATTTTTTTTTTATTGTTTTCGATTGAAATATGATTTTTGTTTTTTGCTTAAATTACTGCCCTAAAATTCTACATATAAGATTTGACTATATTGCATGCACCACCTAATTACACTACAGATCTGTGAAACGTTTCACCGCATTCAGTCCATTGGTTTATTTATACGATATTTTTACTCCCAAACAACGCAAAACATCTCCGTGAAAAAAAAAAAAAAAAAGCTTGCGGTTGCGTGTTTGCTTTTTTTTTGTCGTATGTGTGGATGCGATTTTATATATCGCCAGCAATTGGGAGTCCCCTCCAGTTCTTTGTTCAGTCAAGCGACGATGAAGACGTGCTGTATCTGGGCTCCGCCCTGTCCTCCGGTTCGGCCATGCCGGCGTCCTCGCCATCCTTGGAGACTCGCATCTTCATCCTCTTGCGCTCAGAGGGTCTCAATGACGTTGTCGAGCGTGTCTGCTGGTGGTCCTTAGGCGCGGCAGTCACGTCCGACGCCACCGTGCTCGTCGACGAGAACGCTTTCGCCGCGGTGCTGGTCGACGCTGCAGCGTCCGTAGAGCCTGCTGGACAAGGTGTCGAATCAGTACCACCTACGAGACAAGGCCTAGAGTTCGTCTACGTCGGATGGATGGCCAGATGGATGGTAATGGCTATACCCTTTGTAGCAGGCGGGAGCTTGCGCCACCTAGCCTAACATTTCGTCATCCCTTCTTTTTTTTAACTTGGATAAATTTTGTTTTAACACAACGTTCCCCCCCCCCCCCCCTTCCCGGTCAGCAAGCGCTATGTCATTGTTGCTGTCCCCATGGGTGTAGTATATTAAGTTATCCTCTGCGGCCATTAAATCTCCCAAAGACATTGTGGAACTAGGAGAACATCACGAAGTAATTATCCCGTGGGACATGAATGCCCATTTAGAGGACCTGGATCGGTACAAAGATGCAACAGGAAACATGTTACTGAAGATATGTGAAAGACACGACTTACGTTTATGCAATACCAGTGAGAAGTGCGACGGGCTAATAACTTGGGAAACAGGTAGTGTACATTCTGAGATAGATTACGCACTGATCTCAAAAAGAATGTATAGCATGCTAGAGACAATGAAAATAGATGGTTCAAGAAGCCTAGGTAGTCACAAACGAATTAAGCTGACCTTTACTGGAGAAGGAAACGTAGGTTAGGGCAAGACAGACAACCATGGCGAGATATTTTATGCAGAGGAGCAGTTCGAAATATATAGTAGTGCAGCAAATAGAGGAGATAACTTCTGGGAATACTCAAATGGATATGAGTTACACAAAGACTAACAAAGCTATTCGAACAAGAGCCGTCTAAAGTATGCAATGAAAGAAGAGGGAAACTATGCAAGACGCACACCTAAGAGCTGGGGGATGGTGACGTAAAGAAGGCAATAGAGAAACGCCAAGGAGCTTCCAGGGGGCACAGAAATTCTAAGTGCAATGGGGAACCAGAAAGTAAGGTTAACAAAAAGTGGAATAGATTCATTAAAAGTAGACGGAAGGCATCATGATTGATTAATGAAAAGATTCAGTGGAAAGGGTCGCAATGGCTGTCCAAAGTAAAAAACAAAGATAGGAAGGCAGCCAGGAAGTTTTGGAACCACTTGAATTCACTACACTAAGTCATAAAACAAAGTCAGAGCAGAAGCATATTGTCAAGCCTGAGGGTAATCAACTTGAAGGGCAATGGAATATATAGGAACAGTAATGAGAGAGAAGTTCAAGCAGCAAGGAAACATAGGAAGCGCCTCACCAGAGGATGATAGTTCAAGTAGTGGCAATTTGTGGAACATAATGCGAGGGGGCAAGGCAATTTGTGGAACATAATGAGGCGCATGAGATGTGGACGATGTGGACGACGGAATATTGAAATTTTAAGGGATATTTACAAAGACAACATGGCACTAATAACATGTGAAGGGAATATAACAAAGCCAATAGAGATAAAACGGGGTCCTAGACAGGGATGCCTTTTGTCGCCATTGTTGTTCATGTTGTATCGCCAAGGGTTAGAAGAGAAGTTAAAAAAAAAAAAAGCAATCTTGGGTTTGACCTTTCATACGATAGGCAAGGTCAAAAGATCACATAGTCATTACCAGGTCTAATGTATGGTGATGATATAGTGCTAATGGCCGATAGCGACGTAGAGCTTTCGTTCCTAATGAATATATGTGGCACAGAGGGCCACAGGTTAGGCTTAGAATGCAGTAGTGACAAATCAGTGGTCATGGTGTTTAATAATGACGGAATTGTAGACAAAAAGGCACAAGCATTAGAGATTGAGCGAGTCGATAAATACAAGTATCTAGGAGTATGGATTAAAGAGGGTACAGAATACATTAATGAACATCCAAAATATGTAACCGGTAAGGATTACAGAAATGCAGCCGCAATGAAAAATAGAGCACTGTGGAACTAAAACAGGTATGAGGTGGTGAGGGAGATCTGGAAAGGAGCTATGGTTCCGAGCCTGACTTTTGCAAAAGCAGTTGTGTGCATAAAACTGGGCGTCCAGACAAGGATAGAAATAAAGCAACGGGGAGTAGGTAGATTGGCTCTGGGAGCACATGGTAAAACACCGAACCAAGGTGTAGAGGGCGATATGGGATGGTCCTCATTCAAGGACAGGGAAGCTAGCAGTAAGATAGAATTTGAGGATAGCTTGAGAGAAATAGATACAGAACGATGGGCACGAAGAGTTCTTAGCTATTTACATATGATAAGCGTCGATACAAAATGAATAATGCGGACTAGAAAACTTAGATCTAAATAGAGGGGCAATAGCGGGGAAGTGGACAATAAAAGAAAGGTTAAGAAGGGGGTTAAAGAAACGGAGAGGGAAATATGGGGAGCAGGCACGCGGACTAAATCGGCCTTGAAAATTTAGAGATATTTTAAGGACATTACGAAGGAGACCATCTTCGTCAGTTCTTAAGGGAGCTCCTTGTTGTTCGAGGCGAGGACGGGAGTGTTGCGGACGTATGGAGCTAGATATCAGGAAGCTTATATACGGTGTGTGGTGCTTGAGAGGAAAAGGAGACGGCTGAGTACTTGATACTTTACTGTAAGGGGCTTCACCCTGTTGTAGCTAAAGAGGCGACTAATTTAACAAACACACTGGAATTTAGGGATAGTGGGAGGAAAATATACACGGGAAAGGAGGAGATAACCAAAAAGAGATTACCTGATTGGTGGGATAGGTCGAGGAAAGTATGAGTATTTTTTTATTCCCTTCCGGGCGACCCATAAGGCGTAAGGTGTGGGCACCCGGTCGCATAGAGGCGCCTCCGTCGTATATATATCGTATATAGCTTTTAGGAATAAATCTCTAGATATAAAACTCTATATTAAATAAATGTTAGAAAAAACGAACACTGGCTAGGTGGCGCAAGCCGCCTCCCGATTCAGAGGGTTCAGCCTCATCCATCCATCCATCTATCCTCCCCAATATATCCGGCAGGTGCTTGACATTTACAGGTAGCTGTGATGTAACGTATTTTCACTACACTTCGTTTAAAGGCCGACGTACGCTTTGAGGTTTCCACCTTTTGCCCGCCTCCTCCCTTCCTATGGCCTCTACGCTTTTTACCTTGCCCCAACTTGGCTCCCGTCGCAGCTTAGGAGAGAAGAGCGCCAAAATGGATTATGTTCCTTGCAGAAAACCGAGGTTGTACGTCGGCCTTTAACCTCGTAAGGTGGCAAAGGGCAAAGGCTATACAGCCCCCTCGTACCAATCGGAGCGACGGAGGCGAAGCACGTGACATTACTTATAAAAAGGGTACGTTAGTGTAACCCAAACAGTTGAAGAAAGGGAAGGAGGAACTCCCCTTCTACCTGAACCCTCTTTTGTGTGCCAGACGTCGCTTTGATCCCCTTCGGAGGTTAGCCTGTCACCCGAAGCTCGTACCGAAGCGGCTTTCCTCTCAGCACTGTGCGCACCTTCTGAGATAAAGTCCCGTGTCTCTCCCCGACGCGCTGATTGGCTCACTGAAGCCGTAGCGCTACTGGCCGGTGTTGCGAGTCCCTCCAGCGCTTATTACTGCAGGCGAAAGATGCCGAGTGCTGCGAGCGCGGCGTCTCGTATACTCTGCAGAACAGAGCTACTGCGCATGCTCAGAACGGATCTACTCAGCCGAGTAGACAAAAGACAGTTTTAGTGAACCGTATATACGCTAAAGCTTTGCGTACGCAAAGAAATTGCGGGCCAAGAGTGCGCATGCGTCGAACGCAATAGGAGAGGGCTTGCGTATACTGCGTGTGCACGCAACGCTGGGGATATTGCGTTGCGGGCTTTGCGGGAAGCTCTCGAGATATCTCGGGCCCAGCGAGAGCACCAGTTTCAAGATGGTGGTTACCTCGACTGGCGCAGCGAGGGCGACGTGGTGTTCGCGAAGTTCAGTGTTACGTGAAATTTCGTGCACGTGTTCAGCTCGGCAATTCTTTCCGGGACCTACCGCGGACGAATCAGATCGCCGTGCTACTGAGGGAATGCATCATGAAAATGTTCACCGCTCGCAATGTGCGTGAACGCTGCCATCTGCTCAACATCTCCTCTTTGCACAGTTCATCGCCGATGGACGAACGGCTCTTCAAGAAATCGCCGAAGTTGTCGCCATGCACTGGACATAGGTCATAGATTACTTCCCACGATAGCATTGATAAAAGGTGCCGGTTCAACGGAACGATTAACGGAGGCTCCGTGATCGAATTTGGCTACGTATACTCGTACTCGAAGCCTCAAGAGCCAGTAACGCTATACTAAAACTGTCTAAAGATGGTAGCTATATAGCACCGAGGGAGAGGAAGATACAAATGCGTTCGGTGACGTCGTAGGGCCCAGCTCTGACTTGAAGGATAGCGGGTATACACACAAAAAAAAAATTGGGTTGTATGTATGTTTATACAGCCTAGAACTTGGTCTGCCTCACAGGGGCGACGAGTCTCCCAGCTGTAGATGCGTTGTCTATGTGCGCGATCGAAAGCTTCGCTGTGATCGGCCCTCCACGATTGGCCGAATGCTGACTATGACGTCAGCAAAGGATTTCTCATCCACGGAAATAAGAGGAATGGAAGAACTTTAATTTTGACGGTGTTGGCAGTGTTGGTTTCAGAGTGCAATAATTGCAAGCTTCCACCATGCTCATTACAAACACCATCGACCTTGTTATTCGCGACGTAATGACGTCACGAGAGGGAACCATAAAAGGGCGCCACCAAAACATCTCGCCGCCTAATGCCCACCGTCTCCCTCCATGTCAAGCCACGGCCACTCGATCCCCTCAAAGGGAGTCCTAATCGAGTGGCCGTGGTCAAGCGAACAAGAGCGTCGTCTGCTCGGCTCGCGCATCTGGTGTTGGGCGCTCGAACGCCAGACTCAGCGCGAGGAGCAGACAACGCTTTTGTTCTCCCTGATTGGAGAGAAGCAGCGAATAGAGAAGACAAGGGCAGCTATAGCCGTTGCGTGTACCCGGTATACCCTTCAAGTCAGAGCTCGTAGCTCTAACGTCAGCGCACGCTAATATCCCCTCCTCTCCTTCAGTTTCTCTCCATGAGAAGCGCACCCTTGAGTGAGCCGGCGACGTTGGTGGTCATCGAGTCGTCCGACGTGTTGTCCCCGAAGAGGTCCGCGCAGAGGAAGAGCGGGTCCTCGGAGACGTCCTGGAAGGACGTGGCCGACCGGGGTCCCCGCATGTTGCCGAAGAAGGACAGCGGCAGGCCCGCCACCTGCTGCGACGGCGGCGGGGAACCCGGAGTGGCCGGAAGGAGCCGCCGGGGGCTCAGGATGGCGTCCAGGGACGCCGAAGACGTCGAGGGACTCATAGCGTCTGCCAGAAGCCGAGGACGACCGGGCGTCGCCGACGGAATAGTCCACGGGTCCTGGATCAGGCAGGTTCGCCATATTGCATCAATAATATACTATGTCTTGTTATGTTTACTATACAAATGCAAAACAAGTGTCGTTTATTCTGTGGATTATGTACCTCTCCTGCCTGGACCCCTCCAGATATAATCTCCGGTAACTATCCCAAAAACGATACGACGCATGCGTCGGCAGACGCATGCGTCGTATCGCGGGGCGGGGGGTGTCATTATCGGATTATCGGAGCGATCTACTAAACATTTCTAATTGATAATTTTAGTAGATCGTTCCGATGACCCCGATAACGATACCCAATACTTTGCCGAAGCCTTTGCGCACGTATCGTATCGTTAACGGGTATCGTTATCGGAGACATACGAACGATTTATTAGAACTCTCTATTAACGAGACATATATGTCTGTGCCGGGAACCGCCGACTTTTCGATAGCAGACTTGTATCTTATCTCGGAGCATTCGTCAAGCTGCCACTTCGTGAAACATCGGCGGTTACCAGACTCCCAAGGTCCAACGGATTTTCTCTCGAGAGCGAGACCACTGAAACCATGGTCACCTGTTCAACGGCTGCAACCGCCGTGGCTGCCGCGCTGGAAGACCCCGCAGAGAAGAGGGACGTGGGCGTCGGGGTGAAGAGCACTGGAGACACGGCCGCCGTCGGCGTGCTGGTCCCGTCGATGACGCTCTTCAGCTTGGACCGCTCCTTGTCCAGCGCCTGGCGTCCCCACAATGACCCGTTCAGTGCGAATTCCGCAAGATATGGTGTGTGTGTTTGTGTGTTTCTTTTTTATCACAATGAGACTTTGTGTCTGAATACAAAACATAAATAGCCCCTCCCGCACACACACACACACACCTTTTTAAAACGTTCTTAAAATCATCGGTGAAGTAATTGCCTTGACGCTCTGCTCACTTGGTGACTCAGTTTGTGTAAGAGGAGGAGACTAAAAGTAACCGTAATATATTTTAGAGCGCAGCTCTTAGGGGCCCGTTCCCGGCTTGAGCGGCGTCGCCGTCGGCGTCGCCGTTGGCGTCGCCGTCGCCGTCGGCGTAACCAAGGTCATCCCAAGGTCACGTGACCCCTCGAGGTCACGTGACCCCTTCCAAGGTCATCTCAAGGTCACGTGACCCCAAGATGACCCCACGTGACCCTTTGAAGGTCACGTGACCCCTCTGAGGTCACGTGACCCCCGAGGTCACGTGGTCTCCTCCCCAAGGTCACGTGACCCCTTCCAAGGTCATCTCAAGGTCACGTGACCCCAAGGTGACCCCCACGTGACCCCCCAGGTCACGTGACCCCTCTGAGGTCACGTGACCCCTCCAGGTCACGTGACCCCCAAGGTCACGTGGGGGTCACCTTGGGGGTCACGTGACCTTGAGGTGACCCCCAGGTCACGCCTCCCCGAGGTCACGTGACCCCCTCCCCGAAGTCACGTGACACCCCCCCCCCCCCCCCGAGGTCACGTGACCCCCCCCCCCCCCGGAGCATACTAAAGAATGAGGGGAGGAGGAGGAGAAGGGGGAAGGGTCTACCCTTAGTACCCTTCACTCCTCCTCCTCAAGAGCTGCGCTCCAATTCGGCGTTACAGGGATTTGTAAACGGCTTTCACTTTTTTTTTTATCTGCGTAATAATAAAAACAGGATTAAGAGCATTCTGCCGCTTTTCAACATAGTATCTCAGACACCCGCTACTATGGTGAGAGGAGGGGAGAAGAGAGCGAGAGGAAATGAAGAGAAGGAAACTGGGAACCGGTTTTCTTCCCGGCCGAAGACGATTCTGCTGGTCGGCCTTTAACCCGTCGCCGGCTGTAGTTTTAAACTAGCAGATGACCTTGCAACAGGAGACCAACTATAAAGGCCCGTTCACACTCTTGCGACTGCTTGCGACCTCTTAAACCTGGGTTCCTTAAAACTTCTTAAACCAGAAAACACACTGGCGCCATCTATTGGGAAGCAGTGTAAACTCGGCGGTCCGGCATATTTTTTTTTATTTCTCACGCAATATCCTTTTTTTTTTTGGCTCAAAAAGCTTTTGTCAATGTTATAAACGAGCCTTTCTATGGGCATTACGCACATTTGACCTCGGAAATCCCGCAAAACCTTCGCTTTTGTGAAATGCAGTTCTAGGGTCACCGCATAGATGGCGCCACAATGTCAGTGTGTTCCCTCATTCTAGAAACATTTAAGAAGTTGTAAGAGATCTCGCCTCTCTCAGTCGTACTCGGTCGCAAGAGTGTGAACGGGCCTTAAAGCGCCGTTCACACACTTGCAACTGAATACGACCGGCTGAGACGGGACCTGTTTTTAAGCCTCTTGCGACGTCTTAGAACCGGATGCGCTGTTGCGTAGTTGGTCCTAAGACGTCGCGAGAGGCGTAAAAACCGGTCTTGTCTCTGTCAGTCCTACTCGGTTGCAAGTGTGTGAACAAGCCTTAACGTTAGAGAGACCTACGTAATCTTGCTAGGCGGCTTTTTCTGCGCATGTTCCCACCCAGTCATGATTAAGGTCTGACGTCCTTGCCTGGTGCAGCTTGGCGTTCTCGCAGCGCAGGAACGCGAGACGGCTGAACAGCGTCTGGTTCTCTTCGTTCAGCGCCGACAGGCGTCTCCCTACGCGGTCCAGTCGGAAGCGAAGGGCGCGCACGGCGGACCGCATGACCTTGCTGGTGTCCGGCCTGCCGCCATTGCCGCCGCCCTGCATGCTAGAGGAGCTAGACCAATGGGTCCTACACGGTGGGCCAGAGAAGCACCGTCGACGTCCCTCGTGCCTTCATTGGCGCCGCGTCATTCTTCATTGTGCGCCTAAATGAAGTTCACGTAACAGATACCTGCGTAGCCGGGCTGCTGCCGCGCAAGGCAAGGAAGAACGCCAGCGAGGAGGCCCAGGGACGTGTTTGCGGGCAAGCGGCTTTATCATCTTCTTCTTTCTCTCGCCGATGGGCTATCCTTAAATCCACCCTCTTCACTGCGCACATGCCCAGTCAGTCAGTCGGTCAAAACATTTATTGAGTCTCAAGAAGCGTAGAGGAATTGAGATCTGTGTCATTGGCACGAGGCCTGAACAACGGGGTGGAGGGTTGGGGCGTCAGATGTCTAAGCCTGCCTTGTAGACAAAGTCTAGCAGCGTGCCGGTGACGTTTTTTAAATCGATTAGCTTTACAGGTAACACTTAGCGGGCATTTCGGTGTCGGCGTTAGTAGTTTGTCGTCGCATCGGATACGAAAAAAATCCTTCTCTCCCCTCATGGTGCAAGGAGAAAGAAGTTGGGTGTTCCCATTGGCCGGGCTGCACGAAGAGGGAAGAGTGCGTGGTGCGCTTCTCAGCGAGAACTTTGAAATTTAGAATTAATCCTCAACGAAAATTGAAGACACCCAATTGCCATAATTTGTCGGTCAAGCACGGCGTTGTAAAAAGTTGTGGAAATTTAAGCTTTTTCACTGACCAGGGGGCTATATGTTGCACGATTTGGACCCCCAGGAGACTAGGGAGAAGGAAGTGACGTAGGTGTGAATGAACGTGTCTTAGCAACTTCTGCAGATACCGTCATCAGCGACTACACCAATCAACATCCAAAGAGCGTTGTTGACGTCACTTCCTTCTCCCTAGTCTCCTGGGGGTCCAAATCGTGCAACATATAGCCCCCCAGAAGTCGCGATGTCGTAAACTCCTTTACCACACATTTGATTTAATAAACACAAAATTATGGCGCGCGCGCGCACGCACGAGCACACACATACACACACACGCGCGTGCACGTACGCACACACACGTACACGCACGCAAATATATGTTCAGACTAGGACCTATAGTTTGCATGGCCTCGTACGAATGCCCGCCAGCAACTGTCGAGCCACACTAGATAGCGGTGAGCTACATATTGGCCAAAGCGTGTGTTGCACCATGCAACACAACAGCGCGCACGTGAACAGCTGAGATAACCACGACAAAACATTTTTTTTTTCTACGGGAGTCTCCACAGGTCCAACAAAAAAAAGGAATAAGAGACGCCATGACGAACGCCATGCAAGCTGTCTGTCAAGTTCCAGGCTTGTTTCTGAACATTTTAGAGATTGTATCTCTTAAAAGTGGCATTGGACTGTAATTCTGTAAAGAAAAAAACTCCTAAACATGCCATACACGTTCTTTAAAATAAATTGAGTTATCAATTAATATAGAAGCGAACTGACATAACTACTCCGTGCAATTACATGGCGCATCGTCTGCTCGAATCACACTCGCTAGCGCCCGCGTGGTAACGCCACCGAAACATCTCATCGCCAATAGCGTCATGTTCCCTGAAGTGCAAATGGTTAGATTCTCTGGTATCGTTTTATAGGCAGCCATTCACTTACCTTTTTTCCGGATTGGCGACTCTAGCGAAATCAACATGCACCTAGCGCCTAGAACAGAAAGCATTGGTGGCAGGTTCGCTCGCCAGCTTCCTCGAGCGAATCAGATGTTCACAGCACCTGGCGGTCTAAAGACGAAGCCGTGGAAGTTCTAGAAAACACCTGGTAAAAGTTGCCAGTTTCGCAACAGATATTGCACTCTTACATTGCGAGAGAAAACGTAAGACCAGAAACAATCATACGAGAACTTCAAACTGGTACGGATGAAAAACAGACATCTTGAGTACGTTTTAATTGCTCATCAGGCGGCGTTGGAATGTGTGTGTACACAGAAATCACATAATCAATTAATCACCGCATAATTAGATTACAACGAGATACTCAGAAGGAAATCGGGAAAATATGACAGCCCACTCCCGTCACGGGAGGTCCACGTCCTTCCACAATGCCATCACATCGCTGCCCGCTGTTTTCAGAGCAATGCGATCTTTCATTCGTTTGACCTGTTCCTGCGAAAAGTAGCTTCTCCAGTCTCCAATCACACCCTTGCGCACAAAGTCTCCGGTCATTGGTTTGTTGACCATGTATTGCATGAACTCTTCGAAACTTAGCTTTTCAGGCGTCTCATCGGAGGGAAGTGACACGTCTTGTGATGGCGTCTTAAAAGCATCGTTGAGCACGTTCTTCATGTGCTCTATGCTTGACATCTTCCGAATGAGCTCAACCAGACCCGGATCTGCTCTCACTCGTTCGCCGTACTCTTTTCCGATAAAATCGGCCATCTTGACGATCCAAGACCTGGTGTCCCTCGTGAGATCTTCGTAAGTCAGGAAGAAGACATTGGGCTCGCCACGATGTTCGTACCAGGAGAGCAGGTGGTCGAAGTAGTCGCCGTACTCTCCCTTCCCTTCCACAAACGTTTCGAAAAACTCGTCGAAGGTGCCGTCTTCGAAGAAGTAGGCCGGCAAGATCTTCTTGTGGTGGTAGTAGGAGACACAACAATCATAAGGGTTCCTGGTGATGTAAAAGTATTTGGCGTCTCTCGAGTAAGGCTGCTTGTGGAACGGGAGATGAGTCTTGATGGCTCCCGGTCCGGGCATCCTGGCCACGCACTCGACACCCGTACACTCGAGGAAGGGTGTCTTCAGCCGGAACTCGGCCTTGCTCTTGGGAGGAACACCGCCGCTGAAGATGTTGAAAAGGATGAACTGCATCCAGGTGGTGCCGCACTTCGGGTAGCTCACGACGAACACATCCCCTGGCTTCGGCTTGTAGGCGAGGGCTGACAGGACGCTCTTGTCGGGCAAGTAGTAGCTGAGGTAGAGCCCCTCGATCTCTCTGTAGACACGGTCCCGTTCGATAACTGGATGCGCCCTGTCTTGAGTAGTCATGACGGTCCAATTTTGGGGCGCTAAAGATAAAATAGATGTGGAGATTAGTGGCGTGCGTATACGTGTCAGTATGCACGCTTCAGCGCCCCCCCCCTTCCCCTTTCCCTAAACGGAACATACACTAAAAGGTATCAAGGGGTCTTTCAGTGTATGTGTCGTTTTTACCTGCAGTCTCGGGGGTTTTGTCATGCTTAATACCCTTTTTTCCCGTTCTTTTTAAACATCGTTACTTCCCCGCCACTCCGTCGGGGTGCTCGTACGACTAGATGTCTTTCCTAGGCAGTCGATGTATACTCAACCCGCGAATAAGCGCGAGCGGCGTACGATATTTGACGGTACAAAGCTATTGCGCACGCTCAAAGCACGGTCCACAGCCCAACAGACAAAGACTACAGCGCGCAGAATTGGTGGCTATTGAAATGGTCTATTAGGGAGTTTTAGTATATCGTTCCGGTAAGTCCCATAACAATACTCCCCAGGCGCCCTTGCGCACGCGTCGTATCGTCATCGGAGTTACAACGATTTAGCCGGGCTTCGCCAAGCAAGCAAAAAGCACATAGTACTATCGTGGATACTATCTCTTTGGAACACCCTCAGGGCCCATGCATGGGGCATTACAGAGCGGGTGGGTACATGGAGTAAATACATCAACGGTGGTACAAAATGCAGTAAAAACACAAACATTAAAAAAGTGCAGGATTTGAAAAATAATCGGTTTTGGCGGATGTAGATGATGACGAATCTTCAATGGAGGCAATGAAAGGGGGAAGCCGGCTCCACCCCGAGCTGGTTTTGGGGATGAAAGAATCCAAAAACATATTTGTGCGGCAGCGAGGAATGGCAACTTTGAAGTGGTGATGGCACGCGGAATGAGAGGTATGTAGGCTGCGAAATAAGTTCTTGTTTCAAAGATGGGTTATGAAAGAAAATTTTATGAAATAGAGAGAGACGCGAAATGTTTGTTCGAATTAATAGATCAGGAAGTCCAAGATTAGATTTCATTAACGAAACGCTAGCAAGACTGAAATAGTTAGATAAAATAAAGTGCGCTGATCGATTCTGGACAGATTCAATTGCATTAAGGAGAGTACGTTGAGCCGGGTCTCATATACTTGACGCATATCCTAGCTTTGGGCGGATTAGTGTCTGATATAAACGTAGCATGAGAGAGGAGGGGACTTGGGCAAAATTACGACGCAACTAGCCGAGGGTGCGATTTGCCTTGTTAATGACGTAGTCGACTTGGATGTGACATGCTCCAATGAGGTGCCAATAATCTTGTAGTCCCAGGTTTCAGAGGCATTAGAAAGGCGTGAGATAGTCATTCTCTTGCACTTGCTTATGTTTGAGGGCATCAGCCATTTGTTACACAAATTAGCAATGTTGTCAGGTCAGATTGAAGGAGATGATTATCAGATTAGTTGATTATTTCGCGGTAAAGAACAGAGTCACCAGCAAACAACTGTATCGAAGAGTAAATGCAGTCGGGAAGATCGTTAATATATATTAAAAACAATAAGGGACCCAGAACAGAACCTTGAGGGACGCCAGATTTTACGACAGAAAAAGATGAGTCGTTGTTGCAAATTGGGTGCGGTTGGTTAAAAAGCATTCAAGCCATTTCAGAATATTAAGGTTAAAATTTATAGAGTGCCGAGTTTAAGAAGCAATAAATGATGGGGTACCTTATCAAAATCTTTTGCGAAGTCGAGGAAAACGCAGCAAAATGATGATCCATGATCGAGGCCTCAGATTACGTAATGGACAAAACAGAGTAGTTGCGTTTCGCCAAGAGTTGTGTTTACAAAAGCTGTGCTGAAAGGGTATAAAAAATGAGTTAGACTTGAGAAATGACACCATGTTTGAATATATTACATGCTCCAAAAGTTTACAAGGGATGCTAGTTAGCGAAATAGGTATGTAATTAAGAGGAGACTGTGCGTTACCAGACTACACTGAATAGACTGCATAAATATTTGTGACAAATGTAGACAAGTAAACCTCAGTGTTTTTTAAGAACTTCGAATTAATTCCATTCGTGCTACAAGAAGAGGAACGTTTCAGATTCTGTATTAGATGCATAATTCCTACAGAAGCAATAACCATCGGGTTCATTGGAAAAAAAAAAATGTCGACAATATACTTGAGGCACAATACTAGAAGGGTCAGAAAATGACTTCGAAACGACGTCGTTTAGCACTGAGCAACATTCTTCACTACGCATGACCTGCAAATCCGAATCTACAAGAGATATGGCGTCTTTTAGTGTAGGTTTTATAATCTTCCAAACTTCGAAGGATTACAAGAAAAAATCAAGGGAAGCGTATTGTAAAGGAAAGTGTGCTTGGTCTCTTTGATAGCGGTGCGATAAGCGTACAGACTATCTTGATATGCGCACCACCGAATAGTATTATCAGTGCGTTTCGCCAAACAAAAAAAAAAAATCGCTCTTTCTTAGGAACTTTGTTAGGGCGTTGGTAAACCAATTTGAACGTTGTTTATCGGGGATGAAACGAAGTGGTATGTATTTGGGAATTAACGACATGACTTTTTCTCTGAATAAATTTCAATTACATATCCTACAGTGCGCTCAGAAAACTCGGGCATATATTCATCAATGAATAGTTCAAGCTCGGTTTTAATATGTAAATAATCTGCTCTTTTGTGGTTTCTAATTGTTTTGACCTTAGTACCTTTACGAGAAATGCGCCCGGTTATAAAAAAAAATGCATGAAGCAGTGGTCACTTGTGCCAGGGAAATATGAAGGTGAGTGAACAAGATCTGGCGCTGTAGTAAGAATTAGGTCTAGTATGTTAGCTGATATACGACCAGATCTGGTAGGTTGATTCACAAGCTGTGTTAAAGTCTAAGCGCAGGTTTACAAAAGATAAGCATTCGGCTGACGTTGCACTGACGGTGTGGCAGGACCCTAGCCAATTTATTTTCGGAAAATTAAAATCGCCCTATAGAAATAAAGGAGACAAAGGAAGCTCCAAGACCAGGCTACTTAGGACATGATGTAATTGTTCACAGAAAGCCGATGTTTCGCTTGGCGGTACGCACATAATAGCATATTTTGGTGACTCAGCTGAACAGAAACTCAAGCAAACTAAAGAGGGGAGCTATAACACGGCAGCCGTGGCAGCTTCGCATCCCCAGCGCCGCATATCACGGGCACTCAAACACCGCACCTACCGCGTGCGGCGAAATTGCTCTGCTAGGTTCCGATATCACTCTCCCCTTGTCGTCGTGCACAAAAAGGAAAAAAAAAAAAAAGAAAGAAAGAAAGAAAACGCCGTTACAACACTTGCCGATGTTTGCTTCACAGTCCTTTGTGGGTGCGTCTTTCGGTGCGGAGATTCCCTGACTCGTGGAAACCAGTCAGCCAAACTTCCAACGAAGGGGACATTTTGAGCGAAACACAATTAGCACAGCAGTTCTGACACAAGAAAAAACCATGAACAGGCGTCCGTCCGATTAATAAAAGTAATCTACCGAGATATGTATACAATCATCGGCAACGATTATGCTTAGCTTAGCTCGGTGTGACCCCTTTTTGTCGGTTGTTTGGCTGGCTCGCTTCCGCGAGTCGGGGAATCGCCGTACCGAAAAGGTTACCCACAAAAGCCCTGGAAGCAAACATCGAAAAGTGCTGTGGCGGCGTCTGCTTTGCGCCCGCTTTGTGGCGCTGGGCGTACGGAACAGCCACGGCTGCCGTATTATAGCTCAATAGTGTCCGCGATAGTACGCACTACATATACACCGCTCCCAGAAGACTGTCTTCGAAATCGTCCACTCGACAAACACCGGAAAGCAATTGTTCCGCCGCGCTCTTGTACTCACCGAAGAAGGAGATGGATGACCTTCCTGCCGAAATGTGCGTCGCCCAAAACCTCTTACAACCCGCGGCGAAAGTTGTTCCGGACGCTTTAATGCCTGACCTATTTTCACTCCCCTCTTTATCGCAGCGCTGGGACAGCGCAGAGGCCTCACGACAGACAAAACCGAACCGTTCCTCTAGAAGACAAGGCCTGCTGATGACGTCATCGTCGGTGGACTTCCGACGCGCCCCAAGCGGCAAACACGCCGAAGATCGCCGAGGGACGCCGCAAAGGGGCAGACCCGTCCGTCTTGGCGTCGCCTCGTGCTAGCGTCGCGCTTGTTTTGACTAATCAAAGCCTCCACATCGCCTCCTCTCCCTTCATGTAACGTCATCACAGCCGGATCGGGCGAACTCGGCTATTGGGCCCGAGTCCGACCTACGACGCCCTGATTGGACACGAGCCCCGGCCGAACACTGACGCAGCACTCGTGCCCAATCTCGGGCCTCGATCGATCTGTCTGTGATGACAGTAAGCCTTCTGCTTATCTAGGTGGTGTTGTTCATGAGACGCTATGAGAGGCGCTGGCAACGATGCCGACGCAAGCGGCGATGCGTGGGTTCACTTCTGATGACGTTGGTGAAGGCGCTTAAAGTTTCGGCAGCGCGAGCGAAATTGAATATTTATCTGTCGCGCATTTTTCGTGTTGCTCGCGCACGCTAAGCTAGCAGAAATTTATTGGTGGATAGAAATTTGTGAAAGAAAATAACGAGAACCAGAAGATTACGAGAAAAATCTTTCTTATCGCCTTGACGGGACGCTGAAAGCGCGAGCCACATTTTTCTTTCGTTTATTTTTCTTTATTTTCATTTTTTTTTTCAGGCGTTTTGTTATCGCACGTAGATAGATGCTGACACACCTTTTGCAAACGGGCGTGGCTCGTGCATGACCGAACACTGCATTGCTGCTTTATGCCCCATGCAAGCATTACGTGCGACAGCGTTATAAGTACATGTTCCTCAAAAAGAGGAACGAAAGCTCGTTTCTCGTTCCTTCTGATTTTTTTAGAACGCGTTCGCGCTGCAAGTTCCATACGTGAAAAGGAAACTCGTTCCCGTTACAGTTAAAAAAAAAAAGGAACATATCGTTACATATACGTTGCATTTGTGTTTTGCGGATTACCATATTTTCCTAATTACCATACCATATGAAAAAAAGAGAGAGAAAAAAAAAGACGCCCGAAATGAGTACATTACAGGAAACAATCGAAGGCAGCTCCCTTTGGCTTAAACATGTTTATGAAAGTTTTATTTGAGGATCCCGTGTCAAGGAGTGTGTCCTTTTTCGAGAACTGAAAACAGCAAAGTCGAGATGGGCCCATTGACGGCGCAAGTCGATCTATGCTTCAACGATTCGAAATCGATACATGAGCACGTTTCAACAATATAACTTTTTTCTTTACGGCTACATCGTGTACTAATTTTCAATATAAGAAAAATCCAGTTCGCGTTGTGGCGGTCAACATAAGTTCACGGCTTTCTAGTATCGCGCAGGAGATCGCGATTCCGAAAAACCGGTAGAACTAACTTTTCGCCAATTTCCAGCCGCATCCGGCTGCGGAAATGAGCCTTCAACTAAGCGCTGTAGATGATAAAATTGAGTCAATGTGATCCCTGGAAAATATCAGTGTTAATAAAAATTAAGTTACGGAAAATTGCAAGCTGAGACAGCAATCCTCACGAGAAAACTTGCACGCACCGCGAGCGTGCATGTTCATCGAAGGTATACTGTTCACAAAATGTTCCGAGCATACCCGAGTGGATGGCGTCGAGGAAAAGCCTTTTTCGGTTTACAGACGCAACCCATTGCCGCCGGAGGTCATTTGGAAAGCGATAGATTTCGAAGACATTGCAGCCGCAATTGCCTTGCCCCCGATCCCGTGCGCGATACAGATGTCCTCCGATAATATTCTGCACTTTCGGTTCTTATTTGTGCAGCTTATCGCCAAGTAATGGTGTCCCGATGACCAGGGGATTGCCGTCATTGAATGCGTCAGCTCTAATTAAGTCTGAGAGTAAAGAAGTGGAGGAAATTGCGAAGAAAACAAGAGAACTTGGAGCGACAGACGCGGTCAAGGCGTCCATCCGGGTCTTCCCTTCGTTCCTCTTGCATATATAAAGAATCCCCCCCCCCCTTTCCCTCTAAAAAATAAAAAAATAGTTATAAATATAATATATTGCATTAGCGAATGCTTATACTCCGCCCAACTAGGGTGCCTTCATGTGGCACTCTACGCCCAACTGTAGCGCTAGAGCTAGTCTGGACCGGATGCCAAAGCTTCAGCATTGACCGTTATCTTATTCAAAAGCCTCTGAACTTTTCTGAACTTCTCAATGGGAAAAATGGCGCCCATTTTCGCCCGTTTTCGGTAACTGGTGGTATAGAGCGCCGTGTATTTATAAGAAATCCATCGGCCGCCATTTTCCCATGAAATTTTGTACGGCCTCGATGAATTTACACTTTCACGGGTTAATCAGTGTAAATATTTGGGTCTAATAATCACCTCAGATCAGTCTTGGGCAGTAACTAGTTTCTAGTAACGCGTTACCGGTAACTAGTTAGTTTTTTCAGTAACTTGTAACTGTAACTCGTTACTGCATAGTGGAAGAAAACTTGTATATGTAACAGGATTACTATTTTTCGAAAGTAAATGTAGAGTATAACGTCGTTACAGTTACTTTTCCGATTTATGTGCCAAATTATTGCAAACACGACAAACAAATCGTCTCCCAACTCGTGACAGAGTCCCAAGTCCTGATACGGAAAGGGCAGAGCAAATACTGCCGCAGAAACCGTCTGGAACACGAGGAGAAAAGAATAAAAATAAAGATAAACTAAATTTTGGGTGACCTTGCTTGGTCCCGCCTAAAGCCCCTCTATCCTGGGAAAAGTGGCGCCATTCATTGTTGTAGAAACGCTCGAGACACGTGCCGCGTGCCACTTCTGGGAAGGACATGGCGTCTGAAATCTAGCACAGTGCCGCGCTGTGCCGCCATGATCTTCCCAAGGGCTGCACGTTGCACGTGCCTCGTGCATCGACGCACCTTGCGCTACTTTTCAAACATGAAGGGGCTTCAGTACCGCCAATTGGGATGATGTAAAGTCCCTCTATCCTGGGAGAAGTGGCGCCATTCATTTTTGTAGAAATGCTCGAGACACGTGCCGCGCGCCACATCTAGGAAGAACATGGCGTCTGAAATCTAGATCAACGTTGATCTAGCTCAGTGCTGCGCTGTGCCGCCATGATCTACCCAAGGGCTGCACGTTGCACGTACCTCGTGCATCGACGCACCTTGCGCTACTTTTCAAACATGAAGGGGATTTAGGATGATGGGGACGTTTGTGTCCGTACACACCGTGCATGGTGCATCACCCACAGCACACGCAGATGTAACAAAGCGCGGCATCTCTAAAGCATTTTTCCTTTCTTCGCCCGGCGGAGGGAGCGAGCCGTTTAGAATCTTACACGCAGTGGTCGTTTGTACCTCGATCTTCTGCATCGCTGCCATGTTCAGCGGGTTTAACGGAGGAACGTTGCCGCGACATTGCTCTCCATGTCTTCAAGATAAGCTTCGTGTTTCATGAAAGATTGTGTGCACGCAGTAGAAAACGATTTGACCGAACAGTAGATTGGAGTGGCATAAGAAAACATCTATACAAAGATGATTGCTAGGTATGACTTTTAATATTATTGACTTCACACTCGCACGATTTTTTTTGTTTCCGCGTTATTTTGTTTTACCAAAGGAATCTGAAATTAGAATTGACCGATTGTAAACTCGAATCATGATTGGATATATATCCGAGATCTAGACACGTGTTGTTGTATTCGTGAATACCTTACGGTGGTCGCGCTTACTTTAAAATTTTTATGGATCATCAGCAAGTATGTGCTAGCTTAATATTTTGAAGACATAAACCTGCCTGTAATTTTGCCAAAGAAGAAAAAATAATAAATGCTTTATCATACAGTGGATTTACCCCAATACTGTCTTAAATGATGATCTTGTTCAGGGAGCTATTCACTGTAAAAATTTAAATAGGAAGAACCAAACACGTTATACAAACTACTGGAAAAATCTTAGTTTCTCAAGACATAAGATTCACTACCGTGAACCGCATAATGCATTATGGAAATGGTATGAGTTCCTTTTAATGTTTTATAATATTTTTGTAAAGTAACGACGAAGTAACGGCGTTACTTTAGCGAAGTAACTGTAATAAGTTGCTCTTTCGATTTTGCAACTGTAACTGTAACGCTGTTACATTTTAGCAGTAACGTGTTCATGACCGCCTCAGATTTACCTTTGAATTGTCATGTCGCCAATGTTGCCAGCACAAGCCACGACAGCCACAAAAACTCCTGGCTTACACTAGCCTAGTTCGGCCCCACACTAGAATACGCTAATATTCTTTGGTTCCCTCATACAAAGGCGAACATATCTAAACCGGAGAAAATACAACGTAGGGCAGTTAGAATATATATACAATAAATACAGGCGGGAGGGACTCACCAACTGAACTTCTTTGATAAAAGCAGGTCTTTTAACCTTAGCTAGCAGAGCTGAAAAACTTAAGCTGAAAGTCTTGTACTTTCTTCTTCAAAATGCCTTTAAAATTTATAAATCTAAGTATTTTTTTTTTAATACTAGAGAAGCCAGGCATAGACACGTCACAACCTTGCCTGAATATTCCTTTAAAAACAACTGTTTCCGGTACTCTCCCCCCCCCCCCCCCTTTTTAGTCTTCAGAGAATGGAACAAACTTGTTCATTCCATCACTAGCAGCGCCACAATAACCCAACCCCTAGCACATCTAGGTGCTTTGTCACACAGGGATGAGTGATGTAAGATTACCTTTCTTTTTTCTTTTGTATAACCAAGGCTGTTCCGGCTGTTTTTTTTTTAATTTTTTTATTGTGTAAGTTTGTTATAGACATGAGGTCTGATTTTGTTCCCTTCCGAGGCACTGTTCAATAGCATTTATGTGTATATTTTTACCTTGGAGTGCCAAATATGATGCATGCAATCTTCTTGTATTTTGTGTTCAATTCTTGCTAAGGTCCCTCTTGTGACTGGCAGTATTTTCAAATAAATAAATAAATAAAGCCAAAATCAATAAGCAAACCGACAGGTTATTCTGTTCGACAATTTCCAGCGTTACACGTATATGGCCCCAGCCATTATAACTAATAAGCCCATAGGGATGTCATATGCCACGGTGTCGCGTGAATATGACGTCACATGACATGGTGACGTGACGTGACTTTGGAACATCATGTTACACTACAGTAACTCCCGTTTGTCTCCAAAGTAAAATGTTTAGCGCGCCGAATGTAAAAACGCAGCAATTTTATGGCTGTCATGTAACCTGAAAGGGTGAATATTTATAGGTACTAATACTGAGGTTCTATTTCAGGCGTGAGTTGCTGCGTACCTTTTTGCGGTGCAAACAAATACGGGTCATCTCTTAATAACCCCGTATCACACCAGGAAATACCCTCTGACCGACTTGAGCGAGCAAGGTGGCTTCAAGTCATCAACAGAGACCAACTCTGTACCAAAGTAGACGCCATCCTTTCATTTAAATTATTTAGTTTCAATAAATAGGCGTCGTCAACGGCGCAGTGAACCCCTCCTGGCGAGATGCTATTTCTATTCGCTGCATATTCGCAACATGCAGCGCTTTTTTTTTTCACATTGACATAGTCTTAGATTATTTTCTAATAAACAGCTTGCCTTTTGGAGCGAAAAGCGAGCAACCTTACGTTTTCATACTTCTTGTCATAGCAGGCACATATTCTTGCCGAGATTTCTGTAGATGTTATTTTCGTTACAAAAAGGCCGGCATCGCTGCGAAGTATTTTAGCAGGGGGTACAATTTATAAAGAGTTAATAAAATATCACTTGTTTTCATTACATGAAAATCTATCAAAACCCAACTAATATTGTAAAAACTAGTTTACAAAGAAGTAATCATAAGCTTTCGGCTGGTCCCAAAATTTTCAAAAGACGTAATAGACAGAGCCTGCTGATTTAGTATATTCTCGGGTATTACCTTCTCGGCTCCAGTCCTTATTACCGCAAATGCAGATACCAAGTGAAATTTGAACATTCACCGGAGGCGACGAATTTATATATTTATGCCGATGCCTTAAGGTCTCTAGTGCTCGGACTCTGCTTCCTGCGAAGCGGAGCACAATTTTCGCGGCATAGCTGGACCACGAGTGCCACCACACGGAAACCACAAGCCCCATTTGCCTGGCCTCTTCCTATGGCATGCATAGTGAAGGTTATGTAGGAGGCTCTGCCCTTTACCTTCCCCAAACAGAGATAGTATACGGACGAAACGCCCGAACATATATTGCAGCTGTCAGCTCTTCTGGAACGGCGTTTAGCCGTCATATTTTTACAAATGCGCACCGTTACACCTGTCGGCTCTACGAAGAATGCCTCTACTTGATAAGAAAGTTCACTCTCTCCCCCGCAGATGACACGGAAAGGAGCACGGTATAACCTAAAACCAACAAAAATCTTCAACAACCTGCACTCTCAAGAAAAAAGGGTGTATCGTTACACCCTTTGTCCCATATAATACACCCCAAAACTTCACTTCGACGTACAGAGCCCTATAGTCGAACAAAAGGCCCCAAATTTTTCGAGGGGCTTGATAGTCGTGTGGCACAACTTATTAAAATAGCTAAAGTACGTATCAAAGACCACATAAAGAAAACACCGAGTTTTTGCAGTAGGGCCAAGAAAACCCCGATTATTTTTTTTATAGTCAGTAAAACGTACATTAGCTATTTTAAAAAGTTGTACCACACGGCTATCAAGCCTCTCGTAAGATTTCGGGCCGTCTGTTCGACTGTAGGGCGCTGTACGTCGAATTGAAGTTTGGGGGTGTATTATATGGGACAATGGGTGTAACGATACACCCTTTTACATCCTTTTTTTTTTTTAAGAGTGTGCTAGGGTTATTTTCAGTTCTTGCTTCAATTGTCTTCACTTCCAACTTATTCACGATCAGGTCTAGTGCAATATTTGCGCCAAACTGCGAATAACCATCCCATTTCTGTTTTGGAATGGGTCTTGACAATCCCATTTCCGTTTTGATCTTTTTTACCCAACACGAAGAACACAAAGACGAAAAACCAAAACAGTCAGGGTTCAGTTTTTGGGATACACAATGTGTATATATATTTGCATGAACCATGTGTCATTTAGCACACCACCCAGGATAATTTTGTAACGATTTTACTTCTGGCAAGATACAGAGGGAAAATTTCATCGCAACGAATAGGAAGCTATAGACGCTTAGAGGTGCGAAATAACTGCAAAACTATATCTACAAAAAACAGTCCTTAAAGTCCTTGCGGTCAGGTCGCCACTCTTAGGCCTTATGGTAAGTCCTCGTCTCTCCAGAGCTCCATGACGTCACTACCTTCAGTCCTGAGCGCAATCCACCTCTTCATCCTGTACACCTGGTTCTGAGAAAAATGATTCCTCCAGTCTCCGACGACGCCCTTGCGTACGAAGTCTCCGGTCATGGGCTTCTGGAGGGCGTTTTCCACCATCCCGTTGCTCACACCCGCAGGTTTCTGGACTTCACAGGGAAGTGGTGAAATTTCTCTCTTGGACCTGAACGCTTCGTTGAACAACCTCTTCATAGTGTCTACTCCAGACGCTTCCACGATCGACTTAGCTAAGAAAGGGTTGCTTCGCAGCATTTCGCCGTACTCGTCTCCCAGGAAGTCAGCCATCTTCAGAACCCAGCCTTCGGTGTCCCTCTTGAGATCCTCGTACGTCAAGAAGAGGACGTTGCGGTCGTGCCGATGTTCGTACCAGGAGAGAAGATGGTCAAAATAGTCACCGTACTCGCATCTCCCTTCTACGAACATGTCGAAAAACTCGTCGAACGTACCGTCCTCGAAGAAGTAGGCGGGAAACCCCTTGGTGTGGTAGTAGAAGGACACACAGCAGTCGTAAGGATTCCGAGTGACGTACACGTACTTGGCCTGGTCCGAATAAGGCTGCTTGTGGAATGGAAGATGCGTCTTGATGGCTGCCAGTTCTGACATGTTGGCGACGCACTCGACTCCCGCGTACTCCAAGAAGGGAGTCCTCGAATTGAACTCGTCTTTGTCTCTCGGCGAAATCCCGCCGCTGAAGATGTGGAAAAGCAAGTTCTGCGTCCACGTGGTTCCGCACTTGGGGTAGCTCACCACGAAGACGTCTCGGGGCTTGGGCTTGTAGGCCAGGGCCGAGCGGACGTGTTCGTCGCGGAAAGAGAAGCCGAGGTACAAGCCTTCGACGTCTCGGAATACTTGGGCGGGTTTTCCGTTGGAATTCATCTGTCCTCCTGCGACAGTGACCGGTACAGGTTAAAAAAATAAAAATAGCGATAGAAGAAACTGGATTGCGCTGAGCGTATACCTAACTGCCAGCTACACCAGAGCAAGTTTTAATGGGTCGTTATATGTCCTTGGCTCCGAAAAAGTAAAGGCCTGCAATCGACCCAAACTTTTCTTTACGCTGCGTCCGCAACAAATGAAACAACAAACAACGACAGGGCTCCCTCGTCCGCTGTGTCTGTATGTCGCGTGGCAATCAACTCAACAGATAAGATAGGATGACGTCGCTTGCCGCCGACCAATGAGACGGTAAAGGAAATGAGTGAGCGCTTCTTCGATTCTTGATTGCGTCCCACAGCAAAATAGAGGGAGTTTATGAACATCGAAAGCTCGCTGAGACCCGCGTGCCTCCGCTGAGGCGCACTGCGTGAATCCCTTAGATCAACAACGGCTATGATGCCTCCTACGGCGTCAAGTGCAAACCGATACTCGCTTATTTAAACATGATTAGATACAGCCTCAGTAAACACGAACAAAGAACAAGAAACGAACACGACAGGACAACGGCTGACTTTGAACTGAAGCTGATTGTATGAAAAGGAAACCAGGGAAACTTCGTGAACAGATTACAGACACAGAGATTAAAACGCACGTTTACTATGCCGCAGAGATATCGCCTTACAAATTGGCACTCATGTTAGATCAAAGGGACGTTATCTCCCCGGATAATGCCCCCCGTGGATCACTAACACGTCTGTCTGTCAACAAAGAAATAAACAATGCTTCAATCATTTGTCGAGTCCTTCTGTCTGGGTGTCCGCTCACAACCTCGTCACCAAAAGAACGGGGACATGAACAATCCCCGCAAAAAGCGGTGAGAGTCCCCTGACCGTATAGCCCTAAGCCCTAATTATAAGAATACAGGCGACATCTTTACAGTGACGCTACGCGAGGACGGAGATAGTGACGTCACCGTCGTTCTTTTCTAAATACGTTTCGGTTTGAGGAAGCCAGCGGAACTAAAATAATTTGGTCGGTAGCGCCCAAATGCTTACATGTTCATTACAGCTTGCGGTTTGAGCGTAAAGCCTTCATTACAGCTTGCGGTTTGAGCGTAAAGCCTGAAGGTTGGACGTCAATTTCAGAAATGCAATATGCCATCGAAAGTCAATAATTAAAAAGTGAATTAAAATATCTCCGTTAATTAGACGCCTAACTGCACAAATAACCTCGTTTCTAGTGGTCGCCCAGTCGGGTAAGCTAATCCGAAAATTCAATGTATCCTAATGCAACTCTTATTTCTATTTTTTTTATTTAATGCATCTATAAATACAAAAAACACCCTGTATATGAGGTGCCAGTCCATACCTTAGGCTGCATTCGCAGGCGTGCTCGTCATCATGAGACCGCAGCACTGACCGTGGACGCATTTCATAACTGCCTGATAAGCTAAGACACTTGCCCAATAGCGATAAAGTTTTGTTTTGGTTGGACTGTTAGTTATCTCAACGCGAACAATTTGTTCACGTAGCTGATGTTTCATCCCCCACAGTTCCAGGTTTATCAGGGGTGCCGCAAGGCTCTGTACTCGGCCCATTGTTATTTTTGGTACTTATAAATGATTTGGTCAGTGCCGATTTTTCGCGGATGATTGTGCCTTGTTTTCAGAGATAGGTTTGTGTTGAAGACCGAGAAGTACTGAGCAACTCTCTTGCTTCTATTTACGACTGGTGTTGTAATTGGCAAATGGCTCTGAACTATAAAAGTATATGTAGATGACTATAACCAGAAAATAAAAAAAATCCTAAGCTTTTTTCATACTGCGTGAATGGTGTTCCGTTGAAAGCTGTTAGACAGTATAGGACCGTACCTTGGTGCTGTCATTGCGTCAGATCTCACGTGAAACGCGCACGTAAACTACATAGTTGCCAGAGCGTCGCAGAAACTTTGGTTTTAAGAAGAAACTTAACCTACTGCATACCCAAAAGAAAGTTAACGGCATACACAACTATAATTGGGCCCATATTAGAACATGCGGACTTGGCGTGGGACACCTAGACAGCAAAAAAACATAGAGCAAGTAAAACAAATAACAAAACACAAAAAGCTGCGTTTTGTTTATAACCGTTACGACAGGCTGACTTCCCTCTCTCCACTGCACAAGGTGTCAAGCATACCTAAACTCAAAACACGCAGAAAAAGTAAAGACCGACAAACAGTTCGCGCTTTCCACTTTTCCCCCGCTTCTCTGCCCCCTTCTACCCTGTCAACCGTTGCCTGTTTCCTCCTCCCCCAGCGTGAGGACGATCTTCTGCCTTGCAGAATCTCGTATCTGGTCGTCGGCCTTTAAGTTTCTTGACAACATAGTGAATGGCAGTGTTAAATTTACATTCGAAAATTACATGCAATACAATACATTCAGGCAGACACACGACAAGTAAGAGAGAACCATTATAGTGCCAGAATCTAAAAAAAAGACTCTTTTAAATATTCCTTCGTACCTCGCACTATTCACGAATGGAATATTTTATCATTAAGCATGGTAAATCAGCTCACAACTCCTTGCTTTGCCGTGGCAGTTACAAATCATTTAATGCCATAGAATAATATTGCATGTCTGTGTCTCGAGCCTTCGAGTGTTGCTTTAGTCTTTCTTCAATGTAAGTATGCGCGTGTCACTTCGCGTTGTCATGACGCCTAAGCTCATTGACATTATGTTATTCTTTGTTTGTCTACATTGTACAGTGTACATGCTGTACCGTGCCCATTCTTGCCTTGGACGCCGTCGAGGTGTCTGGCAACATTTCCAATTAAATAAATAAATAATGTAAAAAAATACATAAAAGAAAGTCTCTTTAAATTTTAATGTTTTTCGGCGAAAATCAGGTTTGCTGCTCATTCATTATTTTTTACATCCAGGTATGCTTGAGTCAAATGCGCTACGCGGTTTGGAAAGTTTAGAGACAGGACGATTTTGTGGGGGCAAAAAAACTGAAGATTTAGAAAAAGAACAAACAAAAAAACACGGCTATTGAGAGCAAGAATGAACGAACCAGTGGGACTGCTATTTATCGCCCTTTTCAGCGCTTATCAGCTCGGGCGAACTATGTCGCGTCGCTGAGCCGTGGACGTATGCGGGCGAGAGCTACAGAGCATGCCCAAAAGGCGTTCCACAGCCCAGCAGACAAAGAAGGCAGAGCGCAAAAGGCGAGTTTCGGAAAGGTCTATTGACCCTTTTTTGATAAACGCCACCAGGCAGTGCTTCAGTTTTTGACGTCCCAGAGAAGTTCCGGTTCGTAAAAAGAATTAGCCAAGCCCACCCTAACACCGCTGCTTGAAATCTCGATGAAACGCTTAACCACCAATTCTCCTGGGGAACGCCAAAGGAACGAAGAAGCGCGTGATCTGTTAACATGTTTCGAACATTCTCGTAAACCAAATCGCCTTTTTGAAGACGTTGAATTGTACAGCCGAAGGCCCTCGTTAAATCTCCAAATTTTCTGTTCATGTAGCGGTAATGCTTGTGACATAAGCAAGCTCAACAGGCTTGCAAAGACTGAGCGACCGGAAGTAGCTTGGGACGCAATCGATGTTTGTAAACAGCAAAAGCGTATATATACTCACTGTCGTATATGGTGTTGTGCCTCGCTCTTTGCAGACGCAGATGCTTCCAGTCTGACGACGCCGAAGCGACCTGCTGCCTTCCGTCGTGTACCCTCTCATTAGACGATCATTTCGCTTTATCTATGTAAGGATATAAACAAATTATCTCTCGTCCTTGTCCTCGCACGGGGGAGGCTGGGAGACCCAGTTTCGTTCCGACGATCGGTGCAATTCGTGTGCGCACAAGTCACAGCGCTTCAGGACATGGCTCGAGGGAGGAGAGAACAAGGAGGAGAAGGCCGAGTGTCGTTCGAAGAGAGGACGAAAAGGTTAGGCTAGGTCTCAAACAAACACATGGGACATACGGAGAACGGAGTACTATATGCTCAGTTTTTACGCTAAAATCTGTCGTGTGATTTGTTTACACAGGAGGAGGTTACAGCAATCCCGAATGGTCGTCTGGGCCGGCTCACTTGAAAGAGCGTCTTATGAGACTGGGTGAAAGAAAGTCGGCATGCCAAGCCTGGTGCGCGCGAGAGGACTCGAGTTGAGAAGCCACTCCGCTTGTGCGCTAACTTTGGCATGCAGTGCTTTCTTTCACCTTGTCTACACCGTAACCCTGTCTTAGCTGAGACGCTGCTTCGAGAAGGCTGCAGCTCTAGTGACTCCAGTAGAGAGAAATTTAGGCAGTTGAGTACCACTGCAAGCCTGGGGTCTAAACGTACATCACGCAGTAGTGATTAGACGACCACACTACGGTACGAGTTGGTGACAAGTGACAGGTTAAGCGTGAAGTGCAAGCTCATCCCACCTTTTCCCTCTTTAGCAGAGAAAACGCTGGAGAAAAGGTCGCCTCCTTTCCAGAGTTCGCTCTCTTAAAGTGGAAAGAGGATGGGAGGAACTTCCACTTCACTTTTAACCTGTCACCGACTGCTGCGGTGCACTAGACGGTGGCAGATTATAGAACCGAGTAGGTGCTCCGTCTCGAGCACGAGCTTTTTGCCCTTGAAAACACTTCGTCCCATTCGCAGTCAAAGCACTGCGGAAGGCAACGAGCTAGTTCTGGAGGCGGAGCTTCGTCTGGATTCTTAAAGGGGCGGTTCAACGATATTGACTTGGAATGTTTTTCACCTTACACGAGCTTACTGGCACTAGTGGGACTCAAGGATACTCGCAGGCAACGCCACTGACCAAGGAACTCCTTTGTTGCAGTGTAATTTAAAGGACAAAAGCGAGCGGTTTCATTCAATCTCCCCTTCGCAAAACTTGATGTCGTAGCTGGGCGGTCGCAGTACCGCCTAGTGACGATATCTGAATGCTGTTCATAAATTGGACCCGAGCATTGCGTGGGCACTCGATTCGGGCTCTTGATAATCGATAGCTTGAGAAGCATTTGG